TAACCAAAGCCCTCCACCGGACCAACAAAATCCAGTCTCCTTCAACTCCTATCTCCCATAGATCCCGCCTGAGATTATCCTCCCATCTACGTCTAGGTCTCCCCAGAGGTCTCTTCCCCTCAGGCTTCCCAAATAGTGGACCCAACCAACCAGATGGCTTACCGAACCCGAAGGTTCATCACCGAATTAACCAAAGCCCTCCACCGGACCCTGTCATGAGCCAACAAAATCCAGTCTTCTTCAACTCCTATCTCCCATAGATCTCGCCTGACATTATCCTCCCATCTACGTCTAGGTCTCCCCAGCGGTCTCTTCCCGTCAGGCTTCCCAAATAGTGGACCAAACAAACCAGATGGCTTACGTAACCCGAAGGTTCATCACCGAATTAATCAAAGCCCTCCAACGGACCTGTCCTGGGCCAACAAAATCCAGTCTCCTTCAACTCCTATCTCCCATAGATCTCGCCTCACATTATCCTCCCATCTACGTCTAGGTCTTCCCAGTAACCAGCCACCTAGTCGATCAAAAGGATAGTCAGCCAGCAAGGCCACGCTTTCAGGAAAGCAGCCTCTCATCCAGTCAGCCGTTGAACAATCACGCAATTACAGCTCCTAATTATGACACTTACGTCAGCATATCAGTGATCGATGTAAACGTAAATCCAGCAACGACATTCCAATCTTACGACAAGACTGAATACTCCTATCGAATATGCTACGATATATCTAATCATAGAAAAGTTAAAAATTATAAAAATCTTAATAATCGTCGTATAACAAATAGAGATAAGAATATCAGGATGACTGATTGAATGGTCTGTGTCATGTTATTGTTGTTTGTAGTTCATGATAGCAAACTAAACCACAGGAATGAGACAAACACGTGGAAAAACCTCAACAAATGACAATTAAAACTGGGTTTATAGGTCAAATCTGAAGTATACGTAAACATAAATATGGTTCGTTTATTGTTAATTAAAATTTCTTCACGTCTAATTTGTGTTACAAGGTGTAACGCGTTACTTGTAAGATTCAGACGTCATAAACGAACTATTTAAACTCAAGATTTGAGGTTATCACGGTGATATGAATATGGATGATTGGGGTGATAGAATCAGTAATTTCTGGCACACGCGGCACGGCGAAGGAACACAAAATATCATCATCGTAATATAATCCAGAATGCTATCAAATGCAGACATTACAACAATTGGAACATTGGTGCTGATTCATGTAACTTATTTATTTGTTCAGAATTATAAGAACAATGTAAATAATATTTGATCATTTTCCATTTCTGGAAATCAATTATTCAGAAAAATGAATGTGTATCTGCAAGTTACAACAATAACTCCAACTCCACATTTTAGATTGCTTTAATTCATACTTGAAATATTTCGTAAAACAATGAAATAAATGTATGTGACACAAAAACAGAATATTTTCTGTGTTTATACTTTATATTTGGTTCAAATCAATTCACAGCATAGTTAAAACAACCCTGTTCAGAATCGTCTCGTAAAGCCAACAATTAAATACAGTTAAGATACGTCGACAAACAACATCTATTGAAAAGAAAAGAAAAACATTAACGTGAACCTTCAAAAACATTCAAATAATAAAACTCAATTCTTTACATTGTAGACTCTGTGCAAAAAGAAACCCCAAGCGCTTAAAAGTTTCGAAGTCCCACACCGGAAGTGATGTAAAAGTACAGCGCTGGCGTCGTAATTCCGGTGCCCTGGTGTGGCTTTTCTGTACCTCCCATTACAATAACGATTTATGCCAGACGTATGGTAAACAAGACACCAATATGTCGCCTAATTTGAATAAAAACATGTTAATGACTTCTCCGGAATCCCTCGAAAGCAAAACCCCTGTGAATGTGTTTCTTCGGTTGGTAGACCTGGTTCCCTCACAGAGCAGTCTGTATAGCAGAACAGAAGACGTGTTCAAGATCGAATTATCAAGTCTAAATATTGTATTTCTTTTATTTTCCGTGATTTATTGTTCATCGTCATTCTGATCTGAAGGTTCCGTGTTCGAATCTGACAATAAACAAACACATACTCGGGATTTGTTTCCGTTTCAAAATGTATACCAATTACTTTTATAAACAATATTACTTATTATTATGGTCCTTGGAGGATTGTTTCCAAAACTTGGCATCTTTAATAAGATGTCCAGAATCTTTGATCTTCAACCTCAGACTTCGCTCGTCTCGGCATGGACTCTGTATTACATCCCAATCGTAAGCATTTTAAACGGTATATGCCTTTTAAAATCTGGACTCCACGGAAGAAAAACTTAATTAATTTTACCTATTTACCTTAAAGTTGTGTTTTAATTGGAACACCTTTAGTTCTGCTATATCATTAAATTACGTAGCATACACAATAAAAATCAAGCCTGTGAAGTCAGGTGATCTTGAGGGCCAAAGCTTGATAACGAAGCGTTCAAACCCCCCCCCTGCCAATAAGAACTTTCAAGAAAGATTACACTGTTATCCCTTAGCAAATTTAATTTTAAAATCGAAGGACCCGTATTTACAGACATATTTTTTTTTGTTTTCGTGCATAGAGCAGTTTTTCAGCATTTTAAAAAAAAGTCCTTCATTTTATATTCAAATCGGCTAAAAGAACGTTAACCAGTTGGAATTTAAAATATTATCACGTACGTTTTGTATTGCTATAAATAAATAAAAACTGTCGTTGGACAGCGATAAATCAATGCTTTACGTATTAAACTACAAATTTGGTATCTCCTAGCGACTAACACAGAAAATATGGAAGGAATTTGAGGAGACAGAAAATCTTCAGCCTTATCTTTGGTCCTGTATTGTTTCGGAGACTTGATATTAAATTTTAATTTTTAATGCCTTATTTTGATAAAACAGAAGATGTTTATCAGAACGAGTGTATTCATTCTCGTGCCTGTTATCGACCGTGTCATCGCAAACGCATTTAAGTAGTTCGGGAACAAGAATCAGAAATATGACACACTTTCTTAAAATCTGCGTAATTCCACACAGACATCGAAGATCGGCAATGGTACGCGTCATCAGTCTATAGAACTGTGGAGCTGAATTACCAGCTTCGTATTCCCCAAATTCGTTTATACAATAAAAAATGGCCCGGGTGGGGAACCTAGCACGCATGTGAGGAAGGGAGACGTGGAGAAATCGTTACAAAAATTTTATTCGGAAGATCTGGGCACAGATGGAATGATAATATTAAAATGGATCGTAATGGAACAGAGTGGATGGTTCATCTTACCCGATAGGGGCCGGTGGCAGACTCTTGTGGACACGGTAATGAAGCTTCTGATTTCATAAAAGGTGAGCGTTTCCTTACTAATTTTTCAAGAATAACGTCTCTCCATGCAGTTTCTTAGTTTGTAGAAGCTTGTGGAGAATGCGACGAGCTACTTACAAATCATGACTTTCCACTTTCAGGGTAACCGGAAAAGTGAAAAGCCATTTATTCAAATGAATTGGAAATACATTTCTTTAACCTGTTTCGAACCATCCGTTGCATCACCTCAGAGGACAAAAATTCTTTAATTTATCTCCTTACTAATATCGTAGTCATTTTTTCGGAACCTTGACGTCGATGCAACTTGTTCAGTCAAATATAAAACACAGGTATTCAAAGAACGATGTGAGCTTACATCGACGATGTATGTCATTATTCTTATCACGTGTTATCATTCAATTATGTGATTGCTTGTTTCTTCAAGGTCGTCAGTGTGTTAAGGATGCATTAGTAACCACAAACATCAAGCGAACTGCAACGGAATTAAAACGTCCTTCGTGCTACCCAGTGACTTGAACGCCGGGTCCAGATGATACTAAGGTTGGCAGAAGCAGTTCCTGTAACCTAACGTCGTCGTCGTCGTGGAGTGGACAGCACTCCCGTTTCAAATTTGGGACGTTCCGAATTAAAACCTCAGCCCACTTCCCTGATATCCTAACTAATGGGTTTCTGATTGCCTTCTTCAGTCCCTGCAAAGACTGCGTGCATTAAGGAGGTTCCCAGTTCGAATCTCTCCTTAGGGTCATCTCTCCATAGTCTTTTCACGCTGATTCCGAGATAATTGATCAGACAGGTCAGTACCACGTATTTCCTTGCTTATTCGTCATCCCATCCATTGGAAATTCATATAACCTACGAAGATGAAACGTCATTAAACAAGCTAAGTGTCTGACATATTTTGAAATTAACAGATATTCGTTAAAAGTCATACGATAATCGCACAGAACTGTTACCGTGGCCATTGCCATTTTCGTAAACAAAAAAAATAATTAATTTTTTTAATCAGTCTCAGAGCAAAACATCTTTGTTGATTTTCAGCACTTCGCCTAGCCTGATGTACCACTGTATTATCATACCCGAAGAACTTCACTGTCAATCAAGAGGATGATAAGAATTGGTCCACGAATGTCCTAGAGATAAACATGCAAATTCGAATTCGTCTAAGATCCTGTAATCGAAGGCAATCGTATTATTTTCTGTTCTCTATAAATGTTTGAGGTCCAAGTTTTTACGTACGTAAAAATGATTCCTGAATTAACGGTTTTTAACTTCAAAATAGTTCGAACGGTTATTTATAAATGACGTACGTCCATATTATGCGCTTCCAAGTACAATTTTGCCCTCATTTGAATGAGCGAGCAGGACTTCGTTGAAACGGATTTTGTGTTTCAGGATACTAATATCTGTATCTACACGGGACTTCCCGACAGCAGTAATAACAGCTTCGTGGACAGCTAGAACAACGGTGGGGTTTCCGATAACCGGCAGCCTATCTGCATAACAAGGCACAATACGAATAATTGTTTAAAATATAAAAACATGGAGTTCCGAGTAAACTCACGACTTCATTCGAGGGGGTAGAGACGTTTTATAAAACGTTCTTTGTAGTGATGACGTATGGTTCCTCGTAAGTGGATGCGTTAACAGCCAAAATACAACGGCGAGTCAAATTAAAACCTTAAATTTTTTTCACAGATTGTATATCGCAGATTGGTTCCGTATAGGGTTTGTCGGTTTTTAAAAACCGGGCTTAAAGACCGGTTTTTTGGATAAATTTGTAAAATTCGAAAAGTTTTTTTAAAATTTAAAAAACCGGTTTTAGATACTAGAATTAATATGTAAAAATTTCTGTTAAATGAACTAAAAAAATTAAAGACTGAAATTAGTTCCAAATTATTAAATGCTTTAGAAGTACGAATTCAAGAAAGAAGACAAGTTGGATTGGTAACCCTTTTGCTATATTTGCAAAATCCACAAAACATTTCAACAAAGAACTCTAGTGTATTTCCAATAGCTTCGAAACTCGATATTATTAAGTTATCTGGAAAAATATTGTCTAGAATATATCCAAATTCTTGTATGGAAACAGATTCCGATGATGAATATATCGGATTGAAATCATATTTCCTGAAGAAAAATACTAAATGAAATAAAATTTTATAAGTTATATTTCGTACGGATTTTAGTTATTTTAGTTTTCTTTTATTTGGTTTTGTATGGAGTATATTTTATTTTGTTATATTTTTGTAGTTCCATAAATATTAAATAAACTGGAAAATTTTAATACAAGTATAAATATTTTTTACTGTGTTAATTTTTGTAGAAATTCGAAAACCGGTTTTTTGTATAAACCCCAGTTCCGTACAGCTTTGTAATTTTTCAACATCGTCCCAGTCGCGTTCAATGTCTTTCCTTGAGTGACCCGGATACATGGTAGTTTTAACAGGCGAGGTCAGAGAGTATGAAGGATGGTTGAGTCACTCGAAATGCATGTCCTCGATGGTCGCACAGTCAGTACGTGGCCCAGCGTTGTCATGCTGCAGCAAGACACAAGTTAGACACATTCACGATGTTCTGACCTGACTGCTAATTTCCTATGACTCCTAAGGAGGTCACAGTATGTAGAACGAGTGACTGTCGTCTACAAATAGGCCTTGGTGATCCTTGAACAGCGTCAACATCACTTTCTCTGCTTCTGCCTGCGTGCAGATTTCTTTAGGGGCTTTGGCTAGGTGTAATGGCGCCATTGTCTACTTGCCCGCTTCATTCCAGGCCGGAATATCGGCCACACCAGAGACGACATTCTTAAATTTCCTACTCCATTCGTAAAACTCCTGGAACTATCGATTTCGATGGGTCTCGCACCCTGGCTAATCAAGAAACAGATTACAGAACGCTGTTCTTCCTTCGTGCATGCTTCCAAGGGAGCAGCCATTTTGGATCTACTCTGCTGATGTCATGGAGCCCGCGTTGACAAATCAACCGCGTACAGTACGAGCCTCTAAGCCTTGCTGTGTCTGCAGCTGGACACCGTAGTTACGGTTATACTACTACTACTACTATGGCGTAACAGCCCAAAATCGAGCCCTAGTCTATCAGTACTATGGTATTTGCGGTTGCCCCCAAAAAGTAGTTCCGCAAAGAGACAAAATACAATAACACTTAATGTGGAGGTTATAACACTGTCTAATAGAATACGTTCGGTCAAATCATTAATCTGATTAACATTGTTCGCCTAGAATTAATATCACAAGATGCCAAACAACTCTGCATTATGAGTCTCCAGTTAAGGAGAAATGTACAAAGGAAAGTTACTTTTGTACCCACGTGTTAACAAATAGATAAGTAAACTGCTGAGTATGTGGGGAATTACCTTTGCTTAAATGTATTCACAAACACTGTTTATCTTCTATACCGTAAGTTAGAAAGAATTAAAATAGTTGCTCTTACAGCCCTTTCATAACGCGAAAAAGAATGGATGAATTCTCAATGTTTGCTAGAGTGCTCAAAAAACGATCACAAATATTTTATCTTCTGTGCCGTAAGCCGGAAATAGCACGACAGAATCAAAAAAAGGTCACTTCTAACCCCACTTCCATAAAACGCAACACAATAGCTGAGGTCTTAATATCAGTTACAGAAACCAACCAACAATCGCTTTTATAAAATCCTGTGCTTCGAATTCCCATGAACATTTAAGGCAGTTTAAAAACAAATTTCTAATTTACGTAATAGATCAAAGGATTGTCATCTGCTATAAATACAGTGCTTTCCAAGATGTAGCATATTTCGTACGCGCATGCGTGTCTACCACAGACGGCATACATACTACACTCACGCAAGCGCACACTAAAACAGTACATGAAACAGATTTAAACTTACAAGGTTTAATTTACCTAATAGATCAAAGGATTGTCATCTGGTATAAATACAGTGCTGTCCAAGATGTCGTAACAGAAAGAGACGCATATTTCGTAAGCGCATGCGTGTCTACAACAGACGGCATACGAGGTGCGATCAGAAAGTTTCAAGACTGCGCTTATAAAAACCCGTACACTTATCTCAGGTATTAAATTCATCCATCACCCTCGAAGTAGTTCCCCTGGGAGTGAACACAACGATCTGAATGTGAAATGTTCTGGCAAGACACAAGCTGATCTTAGAAAAGGAAAAATATGTTCAATTGCACCTCCACTTTGACTTTTGCACACACACGTGATGAGACAATGGTATTCTGACCGGCCTGCTCTTCAAGATGGCGCTCGAATGAGTGTTGACATACCGACAGACTTCACTTTATAATCAAACTTCTTCTGATTACTGTGTTATTTACCATCTTATCTACGGTCCATAGTTGAACCCAAACGACTAGCTGCTCACAGCGACAAGCGTGGTGAAAATCCCAGAAGGTTTAACGCCATTGACATCAGCTGTGAAATCCCCAAGAGGGAGGGTAACGCTTGCTACTGGTAGTGGGGTACGCAGGGGAAGAGCTTTCTCTGCTAGTAGCAAGTCTCTCTTGACTCTCCGGCGTCCATTGGTTGTGCAACAGCCGCACATGTCACAATTTATTCGCGTTATTGTTCGCTGTAAAAATAAATGTATGCACATTTCCACTTTTGGCCATCTACACGAAATATAGGGTTCGTGTTATGCATGTACACTTTTTTTTTTGAGAAAATCAGTTCGACTTTCACGTAGAATCCTAATCCATACTAACCAAATAGAACTTCTGAAGGATCTTACAAAATTGGTTTACGTAGTTGGAACCAATTAGGCGTATTTCCAAAGCAAAGCGAAACGAAAATGGCCCTTGGAGATTAAAATACAAAAGTGACTTGTTTAAACCACGCCTCATTTTTTAAAATTCTTGAAGTTCCATTGATGCTTTATAGTAAATTTCTTGAGAAATTGTCACATGAATAATTATTTAATGAAGTAAACTACCATTCCAAATTTGGATATTCAACCGCTGTTTTGCTGTAAAAAATATAACCACTAACTAAACCTTCAAATATGCATTAAAAATAGAACATATAGTTTGTACCGCATCATTTTATAATGTTAACTAAACACACTTACGAGTGTAGCAGTTGAGGTTAATTACACAGTTGCCGACCTCCAAATGAAAACAGTTCCTGTGACGTCAACGCAAACCACAGTCGATATCGACCTATCGCAATTTCCTGAAAGCTGGCTACATCAGAAGGAAGTTTAATTTATGGAAGTCCGGGACACTGACGCCCTTAAGGCATCAAGGTCATGCTTCCGTGTGACAAGTTAAAGCCGGCAATCCGCACGGTCTTCGATCCCTAAAACACAAGAGATGGCGGGTTTTAGCCCCGTCCTGGGCAGGAATGTTATAAAATTTTCTAGAGAGATCGCGCGTTTCATTGTTGCCAAAACGCGGCTGAGATGACAGTTAATTTTTGGACGGGATAAAAAACATAAGCATTCTTAGCAGAAATAAGTTATTAAGCACCGAACGAAAATAAAAAATGTCACTTCAACAAAGAAACACCAAAATGTTTATATTTATTTATAATTTAGCCTTGCATTTTTGTGTTTCCTTTATCACTTCATCGTAGACATCGCAGCTTCGGAAAATCGCTTACTTTTTCTTGACGTGAGACATGTCGCCAACATAGGAACTTTTTTTCCCTTCTTCTTCTTCTTCTTCTTCACTAACGTAACAAGTGAATGCACATTTGGAAAAGGTCGAATCGAATTCGGTTCTCTTCCGCGCAGTACGAAGAAGCGGCTAGCAACACATTTTTATTTATTTATTTGTTTGCATCAAATAGCAATTGCAACATTTGATACAATATCTGCTACTAAAGACAATAGCACATTTTCCACGTAACTTCTTTGCTATTCTGTAACGCTCACTTATGGAAAGGTGTATCCACTAGAGACGCAGCCTTCAAGTCAACGCTGCACTAAAATTTATTTTTAAATAATGCATGTTGGAGGAATTTTCCATGACATAGAAAAAGCTTTTGACTGCGTAAATTATGAAATAATGAAGTGATAATACTTGTATGAATTATAATACTGATACAACTGGACTGGCCATGCCGAACAAACAACTTGGTCAGACAAATGACTGTCAATGACGAAATTCACTTAACATTTTCGGAAACTTAGTCACATGCAGCACGACAAACAAGTAAAGAATACTAGTAAGAAGAGGAAATGTGGATATACTAGGAGAAATGACATAGGAAAAACATAAAATAATGGAGTATATGCAAAAGTGCGATCAGAAGGAAGGATATTTGTGGAAGTCAGAATTGGCCAGTGGATACAGACCACACGAAATATCAAATTAAAACAATTCATTATAAAATTATAAAAAAAAAGTATAAAAGCATAATTTGCAGTTAACATACAAAAATATATATATCTTAAGTATATAACAGATAAATATCATATTAAAACATTTGCATGCTAAGATTAATAGCATAAAACTGAGCAATAAATAAGTTTGGGCCATACAATGACCAGACAAAAATTTAAATTGGATCCATTCACATAATTTTACGATGCCAAAATACGACTTAGATAGCAGTTCCAAAACCAGGCACAGACACACATCCTTTGTAATAAAGCGATAGCAAATAAACTATAACAGATAACGTGTTTTCAAGACAAATTTCTGTCATATCCAGAATTCCTAACTTCACTCTCCAGTCGTCAATATGGCAATTAGTCTGACCTGCAATGTCGTTTGCTGAAAACAACCGTTCTCCTGAATTCTTTCAATTCATGCTACTGTAACAGCTGTACGAGAAAAGATGTCTCTGTACACTAATTTTAGTAATGGACTCATGTACTTTAGAGGAACTTACTGATAAATGATCCAAAATTTTCAAAAACTGGACATGATACTGAGTATAACAAATCTGACTGACATTCTCACAACCTAATTTCAAAACATCCAGCTTAATATTATCCTCTTTGTCTTCCAACTTGCCTCTTTCCAAGATATTTCCCCAACTAATTCCACATCATTACTGTAAGACGCTACTACATAAGCTGTATAAATTATATACAGTGTGTCCACAAAGTCCCTTCAGGATTTTGAAAAATTGTGGCGCGCAAACAAATTGAGCTAGCCACATGCGGTTTGCGGCAGATTATGGATTTTTTTCCTGTGGGGTTGTGTCAAGAGCAATGTGTTCCGAACACCAGTTAACGGACTTGATGACCTGAAGACCCGTATCAGGACTGCGATCTCGGCTATTCAAGCGGACATGCTCCACAGAACATGGCAAGAGCTCGAATATCGTCTGGACGTTCTCCGTGCTACCAAGGGAGCCCACATTGAGGTCTACTGAGGTCAGTAAAAAAACTTCCAGAGTTTCACTGTAATCTGCCGCAAACCGCATGTAGCTAGCTCAATTTGTTTGCGCGCCACAATTTTTCAAAACCCCGAAGGGACTTTGTGGACACACTGTAGTTTCTCATTATGTAATATTCACCATTTCCCATTTACTTCCATCTCTCTTAATACAACACAAAAAAGTGACCTTTTACTTTTAAAATTAATTATGGCATTTGTTTTAGTCAAATCACGAGATGAGGACCACTTAAACGTGCGATAACCATGCGTACCGACGAACCTTCGAACCTTTGCAGAAAGATGAGCGAATACAATGCAGTAAGGCACAAACTATATAAATAGAACTCGTGGGATACCAACTGGGTGTAACACAATCCAGAAACCTAATAACAAATTTCAGGATCGTCGCAAATGTTCTGTATCATTACGCCGATAATGTGCTTTTAAACCTACTACAAAGTGCTGCTACTTAGCATCCGCCAGAACATTCTAAGCAAGGGAAAAAAAAATAAAGAGCAAAATGTCTTCCCTCTCACTTGGAGACCATACTTTAAACACGAATGAGTCATCAGTATATTGAATTAGTTTCTGTACTCTGGTCCCTTGGAAACTGTGTACTTTAATTACACCTATAATACATTTCTTTCACCTTTACCGATAAATAAAATGAACCAAACAACTATTATGCACGCACATAAACTCTACTTAACTTAAACCATCCCAAACTCCAACCATTCTAATATTTTACCCTCCACCAACATAATCTACTGTGAAACCTCATACTGGCAAAGAAACAAATGGTAATTAACGCTTCCTGGTTCAAAATAACACGCAAAATTGAGTCATATTTAGTTCAGACAATTAAGCTGCAACTTCCCGTAGCATCACTGACGTCAACATAAAATGGGATTTCAAAGATATGAATATTTATAGAATAGATTTGAAAGTCACTGAGCATCATTTTGAAACTCTCGGCCAAGGAAACAGTCATTTTCACAGCGCAGAGATTTGGAAAGGGAACACTTAATGGTCCATCCTGATGAAGCAAATCACAGTAAGAAACATTACGAAAGTTTTACATTTTTCCGACCGTTTCCAAAACAGATTCATATCAAATGCTCTGACAGCCCTAAACATATCAGAAATAAATTCCTGTTGACCTTAAAATTTGATATTTAAGTCACTTATATGATGGCTTATATCATATAACAATTCCGAATCCCAAAGGCACTTTTAATCGTTAAATTCAACCACAACTTTCATTCTCAAATGCTCTAATTTCTAGACTCAAAATTAAGAAAGTTTCAACAGTCCCATGACTCAACCAACAGACTTTTTTATAGTATATGATCCCCCCCCATTCTGAACATCTATCTCCAATAAAATGTTTGAAATTGGAAAGGCAGATCAAGTTCCTTTATGGTTTGACACACTCAAAAACCGTTGTTACGTCACATGAACTCTTAAGACTAGCTAGTCAACCACGTCAAGCGATTCTGTTGTGCCTCAAATGATAATTAACAACTAAGCAGAATCACTCATGTCGTTACTCTCGTCCAGCGCCGATCAATAGCTTCCAAATGATTTTCCTTTGTTTCTGAGTCGATTAATCAAGTCACTCTGGAAAACGCAGAATAAGTAATATTTGCAATATCTTACTAAAATAGTGAGAGGTCTTAGCCAACTGTTCCTCGTGACTATTTTCGGCACAACATTCCTACCAAATAATGAATCCACTTTTCAACAAAATCAAAATGACTGAAACCAAAATAAAATACCATCATACAGAACTGCAAGGCCCTGGGCATCTGCCCAAATTTTCTATACCCTACGAATGACCCTAGTTATATGTTACTTACTGATATGTTCAAGTTGCCACGTGAAGAGGTGCCTCAGGTTGCAAGTTGACACCCCCGATTTAAATTTTATCAAACTCCTTACTAGAACGCAATTTTGTGATGCTTGTGATGTCATACAATGGCATGTGTAGATCACCGCTTGATCCACCGTACTTTTCTAAATTTTGAAATTTTGCCATACAGAGAATATATGTATGTTTGTGTCTGTCTGTGCGCGTGTGAGAGAGAGAGGAGGCTGGTACGATTACGAAGAACTAACGTTGGTAAGCAGTCTATTTACCTATATTCCCTTTATGTAACATCCTTATTAAATGTTGTAGGTTTTTGTTTTATGTATCCTCACCAAACACTGTAGTTTATAATTCTCCTGCCTTGTTCAATTATATTCTTGAACTCTGTACGGAACGAACTTATGGTATTCTAGACAAAGAATTTCCTTAATGGTACCACGTTGTTCAGAACAAAACATAACAACGAGGCTCCGTTTGTAAATTATGCACAGTTTTCTACTTCTACCACGAAACAAACCACATACTACCATTTTATAAAAATTTATACCTCGTCTGACAACAGAAGAATGCGGTTGCAAATCAACACCATGTGCGGTCAATGAGACATTTCCCTTGAAACCATCGATACATCAGCTGATTCTCTGGTGAGTATTCATCTAAACTGATACTCCTCTTTGCATCTTCTTCAGTCTGAAATAATTTTAACAGAACACAATTTTTACTTCTTGCTACCTAGTAAAATATACTAAAACCATTAATCCAGAATGTTTCTGTTTTCCTGTAGTAAAGCAAAATTTTTCAAGAAATGCAGGCTTTCAAATACTTCTTTGTGGACTTTAAAAAAAAGGCATGTTCTTTAATTTTTGAATCAATAATGTCCTAATTACAAATAGTGCCTCAGTACTGTTATGCAACAGAGGAAGAGTTGCAGTAATGATAAAAAAAGATACAGACAAATCAAGGACCAATATCGTAACGTTCCACTGTATAGCGCACTAAGAAAATCTGTGTGCAAAATCCTTCCCCAGCTTTCAACATGTGTGAGTATTGTTACCAATATTATCTGGTCCAAATACCTCAACCACGGGCAGTTACAAAACTTGCTTAGTGTGGTTTTTTTACCTGAGCTGCAGCAAAATGCAGAAGTACAGGTAAACCTCGATTTACGCCGGGGATGCGTTCCTGGACAAATAGGCGTAAATGGAATCAGCATAAATTGAAACTCTTTTTTTATGACGTGAATCAATGGGACGTCAATGACGTGCGTTCCCGGCACCCAAACATTGATGACATAAGTTCCTCAAAAATTGACTTCGCCTTTTCCGTGATAGCAATTTCAGCCAAGGGAATGTTTTTTCCGATTCATGTCATCCACCCATAGCAACAGTAATTTCTCCATTCTTTCTAAAAGTTTACTTCTGCTATAACTCAATTGTGTTGCACTTACTCTGGTAGCCTGTTGCATTGACTGATTTATTTTATATGAATTTTTCATTATGGTAGTCACAGTGGAAGGAGGCAACTTCATACTCCTGCACACATTACGACGGGTATCACCACCTTCTATTCTATGAATTATGTCCATCTTATCTTCTAACACAATAGACCTACAGCAACACATTCACTTCTCTTACCAGACATGGTGGCTCTTCTACAATTTATAAATATAGAATATAATAAATATAAATGCAGAACAGTGGTCGAACAACAACACAAACACATTTAGCACACAGTTTTCAGCGCATACAACGTGTCAACAAAAAGCAAATTGAGCGCATTTTTCCTTACTCCCTTATCAGGCTGAATGCAAATGACTCACCGTAGAAGAGTGACCAATGCTCACGTGACTGTTGGGCAAGGTTGGCGGATTTTTAGGAGATTATCTCGCAACTACTTAGCAATGAGTGCAGAGGTGACTGTATTTATAATTTTTATTCAAAATCAGTGATGTAAGAATTACGATTTAGTATAAGAAACCGTACGAGAAACATTGTAAAACGTTATAAATGATAGTTTTTTTCTTCACTTTTTGACTTGCTGGTTTCATAAGCAGCGTTATTCTGAATCGGCGCAAATCGAGGTTTACCTGCATATATTTGCTTAAAGGAGTCCATGGAATAAAAAGAGAAGTCTGTGAAATAGTTGCAGGCACCGTAATGGATGTATAATGGTGGATTCCTTGTTGATGTTTCTGGGCATTTGAACAAGTACATAACTTCAGGCAAAGCCCAACACATTCACACCCTTTACAATTCTATTAAAGATTTTCAGATAAAACTGGTCTCATGGGAATGCCAGCTGAAAGTGAAGAGAGGCTAATATACTGTCATGGACCTGCATGCAGTGTGGGAATCCATGCCTGGTCAGCAAACACACACCCCACTACATCCACTGCCTATTGTCCACCATTTTTCAGCAATGTTAGTCAAGGCTTATGTGAAAGCATTATTTGGACTCTTGTCCTGGTTTCTAGCTGATCGTAGAAAAATGGAACGGTCTGAGAAACAGTTTCTGAATCTACATAAGGGGAATTATGGTGCCTTTGAGCCAGTTGTGATAAAGTCACGTATCCAGTCTCAGCTGGTCGACTGAGAAATACAGTGAGAACTTCAATATGCGAGCGGCTACACTGAACACAAGACCAGAGTCTGGGCATCTGTAATCAAGACTGTGATATGTTAACTGACACAGCATTAATCAAGGAAACACCTGTAACAGTGTGTGCAATAAATACATCTTCAATTTTAAAAGAAATTACAGCAGTGTAACCACTGATTTCCATTACAACTGGTATCAAAAGTAGAGGTCCGCATGGACCAATGTTTAGAATTTCACCTGGCCTAGCCGAAGCCTGAAGCATGTCTTCAAATATGTTACCCTTATGCTGCCTAAGCCCAACAACCTTTTATTCCAGCTCAAATGAAGCCCAATCTATTTACAACATGCCCTGACTATTGTATCATTAGTATATGTTTCTTAATGCATAAATGCCAGTTATCCTTGAATTAATTGTTGAACAATTCCTTAACAAAGTGAACCCTCACCAAGTGTGGAGGAAAGATTCTTTTGCAGTCCTGACGATTGACGTGTTCCAGATAAGCGGCCTTCAACACGTCCACGGTCTCCGCAGTTAGGCAGGGCCTGCAAAGCTGGCAGTCAGGTGACACACAGCTGCTGCGACAAAGCTTTCTTGCACACACGGCAGGATATACCATGAGGTTCTTTTCTGTTACCTGCATAGTTTCTTCAGAACTTGACCTGACAAAGCACACAGAAATGTCTGTCATTAATTCTTCAAATCCAGATGGTTTGTTTAGTGACAGTTGATTTACTTTTCAGAATGCACGTGCGCGGGCATGTGCACACACACACACACACATATACTGGTATTATCAGAGAGTACAAACATTTAAAGTCCAAATTTTAATATTTTGCACTGAAATTACTGTATTCGGTCCAAGGTGTGAAGCCGGTCATATACCTCTTTCGTTCCTGTTAAACTGCAAGTCACTTGTGCCACTCTTGCTCTCACTGGTAACAGGATCACTTATTTCATAATCACTATTACCAGAACTAATACCTTACAACTTCTTATGGCAGAGAAATTGGTTTATCGGAACATTTTGTAAACTACGGATACACCTGGTTCCCTCACGAAAGGCACAGATATATCTGGTTTCTGCTTAGGAAGAGTTAAGATAGTAATGAGAGAAAAAAAATTGAATTCAATACTACAAAACTGTTATAGAGTAATGTCTGGAATATAAAATCAACATCACTTAAAATGCTGTTCCAAGTATTGTTGTGCTAGCTTCAAACTTCTTAAGTTGTGCTTTTTTTTTTTTACTGAAATTTCACCTATTCAATCAAAGTCACTTTTAACATATTTTCACATCTGTGATAAAGTTTCAATATATCATCCGCCCCATATGTACCGCCTTCCGACACAAACCTTAACAGACATACTTATTATTTTATGTTGGGACAATTTAACTTTAGAAAAGCTGTTACTCTCAGGATCATTAACTACTGCATTTGGCATGAGTTTTTAACATTTCTGAATCTCAGTAGACACAAAAGACTGTACCAAATGTTTACAATGCAAAAGTTTCTGAATTACAAGTCTTACACAGCTCTACGTACCTTGGACTAAGAGAATCTCCATGTACCTTCCGTCCTACTCCAACCAGGCTTAATGTGTTGAAGAGAACTTGTTCATAGAGCATACTGTTGGGAGGAAAATGTTGGGAGGACAAGTTGGGAGACATGTTTGCCTGCAACAGAGAACTTCGTGTAATTATCTACGCCAGACTCCCAACCAACTGCAACAGCTGATAAAGTTACATTTGTACCAAACAGCTATGCTGTGAAGATAAAAAGATCACTTGCCAAACACGTTACAATGAAAAAAATCAATGTAAATATGGGCAAAGCCTTAACTTTCCCGCACAGATTCATTCAATGTCAAATACACATACTTCAAGGGCAAAATTTTCATGACAATCTATGACTCTAATAAAAGTCTGCAAGCTTGTAGGGTTGCCTTACTATTTTTATTACTTTCCATATTATTAATATTACTGTATCTATTAATTTCAGAGGTGCAGTATTCTAAGATGTTCTGTTTTGCTTCAATTTTCCCATTTTTTGATTCACTAAATTGATCATATCTACGGTCCTAATTGAGACAGAGCATTCAATTTTGTACTAATTGAGTGTTAAACGCAGCTTCTGTTTTAACGCCAGTCATAATTAGGACATATTAAGACTCTGACCTTGATATTTAACCTCTGACCTCAATTTATGAAAAAATTTAAACAAGTGAACTGTTGTAAAGACGCCCTCAGTCACCAATGAATATTTTAATGTTAAAGACCACAGCAAAGAATCAATGATGCTCAAAGAAAGGTTCAGGAAAGTTGTAACAATTCTGGGTACACAAAAATTACATTGTCAAACCTGCATCAAGAACCCAAGTACACACAAAAGTGTTATCAGAGGCTTATGCATTCAACACTTGCGAAATGAAGAGTATCAAGTGGAAGAGATCACAGAATTAGTAACTTGCAAATGAGACACAAAGTGGATTCTTGCAAGTGTGTTTCAAGTGAATTACAGTGAAATTCGACTATTATTTTTGCATTCCTCTGGTCCCAGTACATCTTTCATGAATCATTCACTGTCAGACATTTTATGCATTTAAGCTACAAAACTTCTTAAAGAAGTGGATCCAAAAACTACAATGGGTTACACATACGCTGTCAGTGAAATGGAATCCTGATCTACCATTGGGAAACTAGAAACCAGGCTTCACACAGACTATAAATAGCTACTCTTACAGGTAATATTTCTTACTTGCATAAAAAACTGAATTTAATACCTTAGTGAATAGCCCACAACTGACATGGCTTTTTCCTAAAAATATTTTATTGAGTTAAGTTGCCATGAAAGCTTTAAGTCTTACACTAATTAAATCTGGCTATACATTTTTCATAAGTAAGGTTCAAGTTCAAAGACCAAGGTCAAAATGTTGCTGTTTCCTAACCTAACAAATGTCCCACTTAAGACCTTTAAATTGGTTCAAGAAAGAGTGCTCTATCTTAACTAGGACCACTATTATAAGCATGTCAGTAAATCAGAATGTGGGGAAATTTAAAGCTTCAAAATCAACAAAGACTGGTTTTAATAAACACACATAGATAAAATTTCATTTTTGTCACTCACTCACAAAATTTTAATGAAAACAAAGATGGTCATGTCGATTGCTATGTTTATTTGACATGGAACAACCTATGAAGAAAACATTTTAAATCTGAGTATGCAGTGATGAAAAAGTTAAATTTGGACCTGTCTTACCTCCATTATATAAACGTTCAAGTCTTCATCAACAACAAAATCAAAGCGTACCATTTCAAAAAAATTTCGCTTTGATCTATAATTGGAAGCAGACTTAACCATCAATGGCTCTGTTTTTAAGTAGGCACGTCTTAAGGCATCATCTATCTGGTCCCATATTTTGCTTGGATCTTTACCTATATAATAAAAAAACCTTTATTCACCTCTTATATTATTAACTATACAAAGCAGCTCTCTTTGTTAAAACTGTATTTTACTTACATGGCTCTCTTCTGAAACAAAGGCAAGGGCAACCTTCTAATTTCATATATACAAATCTAAAGGTATTCCTTATCTCAGAGGGTAGGGGTGGTGTCTTGATAGGCCAGCCTATCTATTTTGAAAACTGTTGAAGTTGTCAGCTTCTAGGGCTAAGCTGAGGTCAAAACTGGTAATGGGTTGCTCAAATGTGTAACCTAAATGTTTTCATATTACAAGGGTTAGTTTCATTATGGAGTGCAAATTCTAAACGATATCCACTGGCTGCAGTACGCTAACAACTCTCCATGAAGATTTCTGTCTTCTGGGTTATTGCGCTGTGTAGTCTGATGATATTCATCGTCCTGATGACGGAGGCAGTATAACCTCTGAAACGTTGGTTAACATCGACCGGACTACACAGCGCAACAACCCAGAAGACAGAAATCTTCATACTCACCGCTGTGAAAACCTCAAATCTTACAACTCTCCATGAGTGACATTAACTAAAGATGATTTTGGAGGAACTTATAAAAGAAACAGCAAATATTCCACTTATGATCAGAGCTTCTACAAAATTCATTCAAAAACTGATACTTCATAACATTTGGAGCAAAATGGTAGATGCATCAAGATATATGAACTATGCCTACCACACTCACAGCATGAAAAATCATGGTATTGTGAAGAAACACTGCTTTTGTAGCAGTTACTAATGCAGTGTGATTAAATAAAAAAAATTTAAAATTAGAAAACTTTCTACAATTCTTACAGTGATGCATATTCTGGATACCAAACATAATTCTCCTGACAGCATTTTTCTACTTATTATGGACCAGAAAGTTTTAAAACAAAATCATAACCCAATTTTTTTAACTCCTTGTATCCTCATTTAGATGTGAAAGTGCACACATTTAAATGAGTAGAAATCAGACTGACAAGTAGCAGCTTGGTTTTCTACCATGCCAACAAAAAAACTCTGTATTTCAGCACAAGGAATTAATTGTAAAATTGCTGTTGTAATATATATTTAAAACCCCATTACTTAACACAGATAATCTATATATTATTAATACTTACTTTCCATGCATTGAGGCTTATGCATAATTGAACTGGTCATGTGTTCCACTAACATACCACTAACCATTAACGTGGCTAGCAGCACCACAGTACAGAGATTTAAATTCCCTATGATAAAGGTTGAAAACCAAATCACTACTTACCCATGTCTTTTAAATAAGCAGTAAGTGACTCTTTCATGGAAAAACCTAAGTCCACATAATATTTTTGTAAAGAAGGCACTTCCCACGTAGGTAGGTAATCATCTCCCACGACATACTTATCAAGCACATCAGGGTCAAAGGGGTGATATTTCTCTGGACAGAATCTGAAATAGAAGAATCAAGATGAACCAAGCACTTGTCAGCGAGTTAACTCACTGTTATCAGGTAACAGTGATATTTTCTCACACACTAAAGAAACACCTGGTAAGATAAACATATGGCTACTAAGCAAGAAAAATTAAAAGAAAAATGACTAACTTAAATAAAACAAAATAAACACACTGAAGATTCATAACAGACAATTTAATTTTATTCAGTTTCAGACATTTTTAATACTGGACAAGACAAGGCTAATTAAAACTGAGTTCCCATTTATTTCCCAAATACAAGCTCAATTTATATTTTTAAATATAGACAAAATACCTTAGGTGATATTTCAAGATCTCATAGCAGTGATTACACACATTTCTGTCTTCTGGGTTGTAGCGCCATGCACTACAGCAGAAGTTTACAAACATTTCGTTAAACTTCTACCATACTACAAGGCGCTCCAACCCACAAGGCAGATATCTTGAATTTATAAACAAGTTAACATGTTCAGACCTCAGTCTGGACCTTTTGATGTACCTTCTCACCTGTTAAATAACTACAATTGCAAATCTGCAGTATGGCACAAGGTATCAGTGAACAAATGACTCTTACGTGGTATTAACAGAAAGAAGTTTAGGCACTGTGTAAAAAAAAACATTCCACAGAAATGGTATTTCAAGTTAATGTGTCACACAAACCATTGAAGAATTACTGGAATTATGGCCTTACAAAACACAGTTGTGCACTCTTTGCATCCACATAGTAAACCAGTCAGATTTAATTTCTATAGCTGATACCTCCTTTCACTGGGGATATTAAAAAACTAATCTGTCAAACCAATTCATACATAGCAGAACTCAGAGAAATCTTGACGCGTTCTATATATCCAGAGAACAACATGTATAAGCTGAAATCCATTTAGAAAAGTATGAACGAGTAACCGAGCCAATGGGGAACATTTTCAGCACCTTCTGTAATGGCGTTACATGAACTTCAATCAGCGTTACTGCAATCTAGACCAACTAGAAAAGGTGGTAACTGACACAGTGTTCACTCATAGCAAAAAAGGAAGCACTCCACCTTATTTACTAAAAAATCTTCCTGTAATAAATCTTAACTCATGGCACAGTGAAAGGGCAATGCATTATTCCTTGATTCTAACTGGTAGGTTTTGTTAAACATTTTTGGCCCATATAATATGGTTCGAAGGGCATTTAGTTTGCATTTAATTAGAACAAAAGGAGTTACTAATCAGTTTCAAATTCATCAATAATAATAAATCTCCAATTTTAATCTTCACTGATGTCTGTTGTTTATACCATCATTGAAATCATCACTCTGAGTAGGCAGCGACCATTATCATTGTTTAAGGAAAAATTGCAATGTTATGCACACAGACATGATGCAGATAGGCTCCGCTTCTTTTGCCTAACAGTTTACAATCCGACTTACCTCAGTATCATATCCCCATTGTAAATGTACACTCTCAGAGGATCAATGGATGTCTGAATTGTATACACTCCGATGTCAAATTTATGCCCATCCACAAGCAAGGGTTTGCTAACATATTCCTGAACAAATGTACCTTCTGCTTTCAAGTTCAGATCATTTGCCTTTGTGATTCTTACACCTCTATGGTCATTACTCTTCTGAACAAATAATGATTCTGGATTTATTTTTGCCTAAAACAAATAACATGACAAAAATACACATCACTTTACAAATTTGCATTTCTCTTCACAGTTTCCTTCCTAATACCAGTAGCATAAGTTTTTCAAAGCTGAACACAATTTTAAATTACCCTTACACAACAGATATAGCATTTTTCAGACTTGAAAGTGTGAATGACCACTAATGTGTTCATTTCCCATTTATGCTCGGTAATCTGCATCACATAATGGATACAAATATTCTCATGTACAAAGCCCCAACTTTTACAGTCTATGGTATAGAGGGGATTCGTTATCATAACTGCCCACAGAAATAAAGTAAAAGACAATTAAAAATTAATTACAACCACTAATACATACAATGTTTATGTGTCTTGTTCTTATAAAGCATAATGAAAGCTAACGATCCTGGCTAACTTTGCAAAGTGCTTCTAAAATGTGTTCCTGCAATTCAATAATAATAAAATACAGCCAATAATAAAAATACAAAACTCTTATGCACTTTCATTCTCTTGCTGATGGAGCAGAAAATGCAGACAGAAATGGTCACATTTTTAAATACTATCAAGGACTCACATATTCAAACAGCTTGTCAACATCAGAAGGGATCCTGAAGGCAACTGGAATGTAAGGAATGCCTGAAGTAGCAAGATCAACCTTTTGTGTGATATATCCAGATCCTGGAAAGTGGTTCACCTGAAACAGGGCACAACTGAACGTGCATTGAGGCGGGAAAATACACACAACCTGTTCCGATTTAACACAAGAACTAAACATAAATCAGTGATATTTCAGGTTCTCACAGCAATCTAAACAAAAATCAATTTCATTCAGTGATCAATGCCCACGTTTGACCGTATACATGAATTATCAAGACAAACATTAATAAGAACAGATGCTTGTTTAAAGGGTGACAGTACCTAGACTCCAGTTAACTTTTCCTACTGCCAGTTAATTTGAGAGAAGATACATACACACAGAGTGGTTATTTTTCAGTAGAAACACTAATAGCCTGAATCAATAGTGAATGTTTCATGCATGAAATTTATCGCTCCCCTATTCCAACATAACAGAAGTAAACAAAAAATACAAAAGTATTAATGAACCATTGTATTCAATTACCGGCACCTTTCTACCTTGGGAAAATGAAAGTACTGTGTGTGTGTGCAAGTGCATGCATGCCCATATGTGTAGGGAGTTTAAAGGCCACTGTGGACAAAACTAAAATATATATAAAAATGCATTTTAATGTTCAAATGCAGTGTGGGAGCTGAAAACAAATCTATGGATTACAGGTTGTAGATCAGTAGGCTACGTAAAAGAAATGTCTTAAACACTTGTGGAACGTTGGATACATAATGCTATGTGTGGACACTGGAAGGAAACTAACATGATTCACGGAACACACACTTCTATAGTTTTCGTTTACCTAATAATGTTCTTTTCATTAATAAAGGAATATTATAAACACTAATTACTAAAGAAGAAACAAAATATGTCAAAAACAGTCTCACCAGAAGCATATCATTATGCTTTATGCATTAAGCTTTGAAGAGATAGAAACAGAGATGGTTTAACATGCAAAGTTTTCCTAAATGCTACAGGAAAGTGGAATCCATATTTAAAAAACTGATGACACATTGGTACCTTTTGATGAGGTTCGAGATTTTTAAGACTGGAATATAAAACACGGAAAGGATATGCATGAGCCCACAGAACATCCCAGTCTGAATCATTTCGCCGTTCAAAGCCCAAACGTTCAAGAACCAGGTATACATGTTTCAGGTATCCAGAATCTACCTGAAACAGTAGAATCATGTCACATATGCATAATAATTACCCAAAGATACAATTCTGAACAAATAATTCACAAATCAGTTAATATTTTATAAGAATTTTGACTTGAACGTGCATTATAAAGAAATGGTAAATGTTACTACAAAGAATTGTACACAAGGAGTCATAAGCAGTCACTACTGTAAAATCTACAACACTGACTTGCCGAGTGTCCTGTTATTTATGTGCCTCCAGGGAGTAAAGGTTTCTTTTAATCCCTTCTAATCTGCTGTAACACTTTTATGATATAAAAAGTAAAATATATGTATTTATTTATAACATCCCATCCAATGGCACTACAGCCCAAGTTCGGGCCTTGGCCTCCTCCCATGACAGAGGTTTCCTGGTCTTTAAGTGTGTATTTATGAGTAGGAGCGATATGGGTGAGAAATGTCTGCTGAATTTTGCTTATGAAACATCTTGTTCATGCTCTTAAGGTTCTTTTACATTCTATAAATCTACGACATGGGACCACCAGCTTTACTTCCCCTCCAAAGGAAGTTGTGCTACAGATTTTTATCACCCTTAAAAATACATTGAACCTTGGGTCCAGTGGCGAGCACACTAACCACTAGTGCACCAAGGGCGACATTTATTTATAACAAGAGTCCAAAATTCTTGTGTACAAAATCTGGATATGTCGGCAAAAAAGTCGTAATTATTAAGCATATTAGGTAAAAATATGAAACCTGTGCAAGTAGTTTAAAATCAGGACCAATATACACTAACATTTCTGCCATAAACTGCAAAACCCGGCTTCTTTACAGAATTCTTCTCTGGATGTGGCAAAATATGTCCTGAATCTGCTTCTGTGTGACGTAGTAAATAAACATTGAGTGCTGTCACAGCCACACAAGCCAAGATAAACAGCACAAAAATTCCTCTACTGCTGATTCTTCCTAAGCCATACACACAGGTAGTGTTCAAGCACGTGTCACATTTTACTGAATGGATCTTCTGGAAAGAAACAGGTCATACAGGTATGTTACAGTCTTCAGTAATATTCATCACTATGGTACTGAAATTTGGAAAATGTACAACTTTAGCCATCAAATACAGCTTCCAAGAATATTATTTCCATACATATAAGCAGTATAGATACCAATACATTCCATTTTTCAGTTCAATCCAAGTAGTATACATTACAGAATTTCAATTGCTGATTATTAACACATACGTAGAAGGATATTTGTGTCTATGGCCTATAATGATGTACAAATACAGCAAAATAGAATAGTATTTATTTACATTCCACAGATCCTTCAAAAGGCCAAAGCCAAGGATGCAGAACATGTCACAGCATAAATACAATACTTGTTTCTAACATAAACATACAGTCATGACAGTTTTACAGTCTACAGTTTACAACAGTATTACAGCACAAATAATTATATGAGGGCGAGTCAAATGAAAACCTTGAAAGTGTTATAAAAAATTGATAACCTACTGCACTCAGCTGTAGGCACAGTAAGTCATCAGCATGGGTTAAAGGCACACACTGTGGGCACTAGATCTCGCAATGTTGGCTTTATCCCCTCATTCATATGCCTTCAAGGTCTGGTGCTTAGGTAAAAGTAAAGTATAGCTGTCTCTCTTAGGCACTTAGTGGGAGAGGAGTATAGCTCACATTCATTCTTAACTTTGGCATTAGTAGTGAGTGGTCAGCATCAGACCCTGGGCACACTTTATCCTCTTGAAAGGACCCCGATGCCCATTAGAGAGAATACTGGGTGGACCTCAGAGCCAGTCTGGTCCTCTAACCCGTCGGGGATCGAACCCCATCCGTCCAGTCCGTAACCAGTCACTATATTGACTGAGCTAACCCAGCTCCTGCTTAGGCACAGATACAAATTTTTCTCTTTACTTTACACATTTGTAATTCCGGACAAGACTTCAATGACCACGGTTAATACCCGAAACTGCGTATTCAGACCTCACATCAATGTCTACTTACAGAAAAATTTTACCTTATACGATTGACAACAAAGTTGTTGTCGTCTTAAGCTACAAATGTGCCCATTTACACACCTGTTCCCCTGTTGACTGTTCGTATTGACGGGAAGGATTGTACTTTGTTTTGAGAGCTGATCGGAACAGCCAGCGCTGCATTTTGAAATGCAAAGTGCCTAATTGCAAGCATTCTCTGTCTACCATGAGTTGGAATTATAAAACCACTTTCTCATCACAAGAACTCTTTTACACGAATAAACCAAATTAAATGTTATATATTCAACGTCACCACCTACTTGACCAAAACTTGAAAATGGTTGGGAGAAATTAACACTGGGCGATTCTAACGGGTGATACCCTTGCCTATTTGAACAACATAAAACTTCTTTTTCCCCTCCCCCCTTTGTATATATTCTCCTGCAGCCTTGTGGCATTACTTTTCCTGCGTGTGAGGTGAGTGCACTGAAAAGGTCAACCTGAAGTACACAAGAAGTATTTCGAGATGGCGATGCTGTTGTTAGTATGGACATTTACTGATTTTTCTAGCGCCGGGCCTACACGAATTCATCTGTGGAAATCACATCACCAAATTCTTCTTCTCTGCTGTGCTAACATAATCTGTGCTGTTGAGAGTATTCGTATGCTAGGAACTGCGTCTGGTTCTCTGCATTCTACAATCAACGTCCACTTCGGTCTTCTTCACGTGGTGAAAGTTGAGACGTGGTTGGAAGTAATTCGAGATGGGCTTTCAGAATATTTGGTATTCGCATCCGAGGAAATATGGACAGGGTTCGAGATCATGGTGAGTACTTACAGTGTACACATGTTACGTATGAGATGTGTTACAGTTTAAATAAACTGAAAGTAATTTGCGTTGAGGTTTTACTGAAGATACCAAGCTATGAATTCTCATGTAATTGATGTGTTTAGGAAGTCTTAGAATAAATGTAAAACAAAATAATTAAAACATGTTGTTGTGTTTCTATTTGAGAATCTGTAATGCATGCCTCTTGCATCATCTTGATAGTGTGTCTAATGGGTCACAAGACACCTTCAAAATTGGTGTTGATACTTACATCTTACACTTAGTGAACAGCTTTGCAAATTGGAGGATGTGGGGTGATTTATGTTGATTTGGCATAGAATGAACCTTTTATGAACTCTTATTTCAAATTATTGTGAGTACATGTTGCAGGTTATTAACAGTGATTTTTTTTCAGCCGATCTTGTGCCAATGGACATGGTTTAATTAGGAAATATGGCCTGAATCTCTGTCGACAGTGCTTCAGAGAATATGCAAATGATATTGGTTTCAAGAAGGTAATTTAGTGTTTAATATAAGGCTATTGAAGTTTGGTATCAGAATTGGAATGAAGTAATCTTGGATGATAAACCATGTGGGCATGGAATTAGTTTCCAATGTTTCAGAAACTCTCAGAATTCATTCGTTTTGCTTCCATCATCAGAGATTGGTGTTGTGGTTGTGACTGCTTGTTGTGGATGCTGAGGGTAGTGTGATTCACTCTGGAATGTGGCTGCCACGATATTTAAATGAGACAGGGCCATTAAAAGACACTGGAAATACGGATCAGTAATAGCCAGCATCTTAGGCTATCTGCATGAATGAACTGAGCCACTGTCGAGAGTCAGTATTATTACACCTCATGTGGCACTTCAGTCGTTCTTCTGCCTGTCTTATCCTCACTTCTCTGATTAATTTTGTTATTGTAATTTCATGTAAATTTGTGTCTGTTTCCCATGATCTTTGCCCAGTGATTCTAAATACTGTATGATTATGAATCACACTTAGAACTCTTGTGGTTGTAAGTCATAAGCATACAGTATACTGTACCACAACCATATTTATCTTTTTTAATGCATATTCAATGGATTTTGTTATTCTGTAAGAGAACGTAAGCCTGGAGTTGAGGTATTGCCATATGGGTCATGTTGAGGATGTGTTTTAATTGTAATCATGGAAGAAAGGGTCGACTACCTTTTAACTAATGGTAACAGGTGGTGAGAAGAATAGTTTAGGGGAAAAGAGCAATGACAAATCTGGAAAATATTGTGAAAGATAAGGACATTACACTAAAAACAAAAATAAGAATCATCAAAGCAGTGGTCTTCCCTGTAGTAACTTATGGATGTGAAAGCTGGATAGTGAGGAAGATGGAAAGAAGAAAAATTGATGCATTTGAGCTTTGGACTTGGAGGCGACTTTAAAAGTGCCTTGAACTGCCAAGAGAACAAATGGATCAGTTCTTGAGCAGATTAAGCCTGACTGTTCCCCTGAGGCCACGATCTGCAAATTAAGACTAAAGTACTTTGGTCATATGATGCGAGCCGACAACAGTCTAGAAAAATTTATAATGCTTGGAAAAGTGGAAGGTAGTAGGCATAGAGGAAGACCCAGGATGAGATGGATTGATGGAATCAGGGAACTCTGTGGAAAGACCATGGAAGAACTGAGGACAGTTACTAGAGACAGAAGAGGATGGAGGGATTTTGTTCATAATGTCACTAGGGGTTGGCCCCGACTCAATGGAACCTGAACTGAACAGGTGGTAGTTCCTTTTATTTAAAATGGAAGCAGAATATGGTTCCCTTTCATTATGCAGCATGGGCTTGAGAATATGAGTTTGCTCTCTGTTCCCTGTTGTTTCATTCACAGACAAGAACACCAAGGCCAGAGTGCCACCTGTGGCTCTAAATGTAATGGAGTGTCACATTACACATCACATCAGCCCCTGAAGGTGGAAGCAGAGGCAACTCTGAAACATTTTAAGCTGATTTCATGTTGACGTAGCCGATCACCCAAGAAGTGCCCATTGTATTCACTGACTGTAAAAGCTTGAAGTATTTTTTCCCCCTTCAGTATTAATTGAAATTCTGGTGTTTTAATACTTGTTTGTGGGTGTTTTTAGCTCATAATAGACATTCATTAATTGTGCACTGCTGGCATTGTACCTGAGTTGTTCAAAATCCACACAGAAATAAAAGGAAGAAAAGAAAAGCCTAAGATTTTCTACAGTAACTTTATTATTCATTGTCACATTACAATACAGAAACGTTGTGTCCTGCATGATTGTATTTGATACTTAAACTTGTATGTTTATGATTAGTGTTGGAAAATTGCATTAGCCATGAACTAGAAGCAGTACATGAGTAAATATTTACAATTTAAACATGTTTGGTACACAACATTTCACATTTGCACCTTTCTGTTCTTTTCTAGTTGGACTAAATAGTGTCCGACTCTTCATTGAAGATTGTTCATGGAAGAGATGATAATGCAACGTCAGCATGGGACCCCGGCGGGCAGTTTGTGTTTCATTTGTTTAAATTGGACATTTTCTGAATTCCATATTACCACTCTTGCTTAATGGCTTTTGGTCAAGAAATAAACCTTTAGGCAAGTTGAGTGTTGATCATTTTTATTGGTGTTTATTCTCATCCTCATCCCAATCTCTGCAATAGAAATGTTAACAATTTTGTTTTTATTGTGTGTGCCAGCACGAACCATTCTGTCTTAGTCAGAATTCTGAGTCTGTATGTGGAGAAGCCACTGATATTCTGGTGGTTGAATTTACACAAGTTATTGTACCTGACTTTGATGGTAGATGGATGGTATAAGAAACATGCAAGAGAAAACATTCCTGTACACCATCATTAGGCAGTCCCTTACCCCCTACAGTACAGATCAGTTCTGTGTAAAACAGAAAAGCTCTATGTGTACAACAGTGGTCACCAACACGGCGCCCGTATTGTTATGGAAAGAGGTTATACTGAATAATGAAGGCCGTTCAACCACGAACATTATAAAATCAAAGCACAGATCTCGACTTACTGACGCCCATCTTGATGATTGTTTGCGAGCAGCAGCATCATCCTACACTCCCAAATTTGATAAATTGGCCGATGAAATTCAACGCCAAACATCACACTAACTTCCCACTTGAGTAATAATAATTATACTCATAAACTTACGTATTTTTTATTGAAATGGTTTCTTGTAACATTAAACGTGTTGTTGTTTTTTGTATTATTTGGTGTCCATAACTTATTTGTCCAGAGAAAAGAAAATTTGCCTTTGTTAATTGGTTGGTGCCCACCACGATCTCATAAACTCTCAAATGTGCCCGTAGGCACAAAAAGGTTGGGGACCACTGGTGTACAGGGTCCTCAAGAGGATTCCATCTGGTCCACTAGTCCTAAATCTGTTGATGTACCCTCACCAGAAACAAATATTTTAGCGTTGTATTGCTTTGGAATGAGTGATTGTGATGTCATAATCACTTGTATTATAAATGTAAGATAGTGCTCTGAATTTTTTTAGGACATACCAGAGTTGGAATCATTAACCGTTAAGCTAACTCCTTTGTTACGTGTGTCGTAGCTCGGGTGGTTAGTTGCCAGCTTCTCACACCGAAGGCCTGGGTTTCTTCCCAGGATAGTTCATGTATGATTTGTGGTAGACAGTGGGACAGGATTTTATCCAAAACCTTCAGTTTTCTCCTGTCAATATCGTTTCATTATTGTTCCATGGGTACTCGTATCATTTGGACCTGTGGGCAGCTACAGTTCCATAGACAAGTCACCCTGTCACAACAGCAGCTCCTGTACACCTGTGTTCAGCCCAGTCTAAAGACTAGATTTGTGATAAAGTGCTCCCATTTTTGTTGAAATCCCCAACACAAGATGATCTCTTCTTGTCAGTTTAAAATGAATTTAACAAATGAGGTCTGCAAAATTATATTGGGGTGTTTACTTTGGCTTACCCAAACCAGTAAGCCCTTTTCATGTTACAGGGGGGCTCTTACCTGTCTAACTGTTGCAATCAAAGCTAGCAGAGACTTCTTGGGTGGTCGACAGAATTTCTTGCCTTGTTCCTGGCAGCACAGGTTTGGGAAACAATCAATAGGAGTTCTACAGGGTTTGGGGAAAAGATCAAAAAGTATCGGTGGTGGAGGGGTACATTGCAGGTAAGGAATTGTGCTTCTCAAAGCTGTGGAAAATAAAATATATGTTAACACCAGAATTTTGTGGTCTTAGTATATTTGGCTTTCAATTAAGTCCTTCATATCTAACCTGGAGGTTCCTTTGCATAAAAATAATTCAGTAATGAGATAAAATGTAAGCAGAGAAAGCGATGCAAGTTTGTTACTAAGGACTTCTGTCTATTTCTGAGGTTAATGCATGGAGCTTTATGTCTGTGCCCCAACATAACTATGGAATGTTGCATTGAAATTGGGGCAAGATTACTTTTATCTTACAAGAAGTTATGCTAAAATATATCATTTCAATTGTTATAGTCTTTGGAAACGGCACTGTGATGAAAGAATTACGGCAATATTTAGTTTTGTTCTGTGACTTTTATGTAAACCAGCTATTAAGAACAAAAACATTATAATATAACGCTAAGGTGATGGGAAAATGTTTAACTCACAAGAAAACCCTGTAGACTCCTCCCATTGATGCGTTGAAGTTCGACAGTAGCTGTATTGTCCATCTGGGCAACAGATACGAGGCCAGCAGTCTGAATCGTTGGTGCAATTCTTCACTGGCAGAATTTCAGTTACTGGGAATGTTGGACAATCTCTAGGGATGAATCCCAACAGTGCTACCAAATAAAAATGCTTATTAATCTGGATTTTTATTGGATATGGAGTGTATTATTGAGTAATTTTTATGGGTTGAGTTTCACTCGTGTCTTCGTAGGATTTGAGGTTTTCACGGTGGTGAGTCTGAAGATGGCTGTCTTCTGGGTTGTTGCGCCGTATAAGAAGACAACCATCTTCGCACTCACCACCTCTAAAACCTCAAATCCTATGAAATTAGTATTGTTTTGGCTTTTGAAGAGCGCCCATGTTGCCAGCTGCACCAACGAGGGTTTCTGACGCTGAAAGCAGGGATCGGGAGGAGGAGCTTAGCCATGCTTTTTTATATATAAGCAAGTCATTTTTGGGGTCTAAAAAAGCTGTCTCGCTACACGCCATGTAGGCGCTTAGGGGAAGAGGCATAGCTCCTCATTCTTAACCTCGGCACTATATACAGGGGGCGAGTGGTCAGCGTCGCCCTTTACCCTCAGGGACATTGGACAGGAGGATGGGTGGGCCCCAGAGCCGGTCTGGACGCAGAATAAAATTCCTCTGCTCCTATCAGGGTTCGAACCCCGATCGTCCAGTCCGTGTTCAGTCACTATACCGACTTAGCTACCACCATTTGTTGGGGTCTAATGGACTATATTTCATTGTCATACAGATTCAGCCTGAATGATCTTTGGCTTTTTGCCTCCAGCATCCACGACAACTTGTGTAGTGTATTAAGCAATTCTTCAACAAACTACAGTTAGTAAGAGCAAGCCGTTAGTATGTTCAGGGGTTTCCAAACTCCCTACTAAGCACTACAAGATCACCCGCACAGCCAATCTCTATGCAAAGCCGCTTGGCCACCCCGAGGCACCTTGGGCCGGCGAGTTTTGGGACAATGGATGATGCAACAGCAGAACAAAGGTATTCTAATTTTCTTCGTTTGGGAGGTTAGAATGCACTGCAGATAACAGCATTTGCAAGCTAATTATTCTGGGTGTGGTACTCGTTCCAAAGTATGAACATTCTTACGTGTGTGTATTGGTTTTGGGGTAGGTCTTGGCACGCCTTTCCGACAACGCAGCTTTCCATCGACATTACAGCATAGTTCACCAAGAACATCACAATCTTTATTTGTCTTGCAGGGCAAGGAGAAGATAGGCAACGTGGCTGACACAGTGGGACATACAGTCTCGTCCTTGTCTTTCACTGCAACTTGTTTTGATACTGTAAGAAATAAACAGTTGTGTAATGAAGTGTTTTAAATATCTGTGTTAGATGCTGACGATTCAAATGCACAAGATTATTGCCGAAACAGTCCACTTTATTTCCCCAGCAGTATCCTTTGTAGATTAAGTAACCTCTTTTTAACTTTGCCCTTGTTTTACGTAGTTCTACATATGGTGGCCAGCCTGTTTGGGATTGACAGTGATCAGGGTGTGAAATTGACATTTTCCTTCTCCTGGTTGGAAGTCGAGATTTTGTGAAACTTCCATGTCGCGTGTACTCGACCATACTGCTGTTGCTTACATAAATTATAATAATTAATCTAAGTGTAAATGTAAGGGTAGATGGTGGGATTCAATGTATTAAAATACATGTTTGCTCAATCAAGGTCAACCTAATACGTGAACTGAGAAGTTGTCGTTCCTGCTTTGTGTTCGATGCGTACTGGGTTCGATTCTCGCCCGAGAAGCAGGATATTTCTGCTAGTATTTTTCATATTTTCCTTGCCTCGCCAGGAAAATTATGGAATTGTGTTTCAGAGCTGTTCATTTTGTCTCCGACCACATCTTACTCAAGTCATCATCCATACTTAATTCGACGGTATATAATTTATGTGATTTAAACAACATTACTAAATAGACTGTGAAACTACAGTCAACCAATTGAATGTAAAAAGTCCCATGCCTTATAACGACCCTTGATATCGATTCAATAGAAATATGACAATACAGAAAGTTGGCAGGTCAGATTAAACAGTGCTGTCAACCATGTCATCGCCAATTTTCACTTTTATTTTACAAGTAGGTTTGAAATAAAAAGAGTTCCTACGAAGTTTCAGTTTTATTGTGTCTAAATCCCTTGATATTAATTAATTATATTAATAGCCTGTAGGATGTGGCAGTAATTTTTTCACAGATATGTAAATATTTCCATTACTTAAAACGTAATAAATACAAAATTTTGTATCTAGGTGTACTTTTGTTCAGGGAATGGATTGGTGCATATTTTGTTGTATCAGCTTCCTTAAAAAGAATAAAAACCCTGTGGGAATACATTAAAGATAGTGAACCTTTATCCAATACAAATGTACTAAAGAAACTTTTTTGCAAATTATCCAAAAGCATTCTGAAACTACGCTGTTGTTGTCCACACCTTCCATACAACGGTGGTTCTGGCACTGTACACAAAAAAAATTAAGTGAATTTGGCACTTACATTATTTTAATGGCCATAAAAATGTCACAATGTGTTTTCTTCTCCTTAAATTATGTGCAGTGATGTGTCTGATGTACCAGTCACTTTTGGACGCAGCAGGAACATACTCTCCATGACATAATTGCCTTGTCTGTACGGAAAATCAGTTAAACCTGTCACGGTCATCATAAGTAGTGCAGTGGTGAAAGTTATGCAGACCTAAGTGTCAAGACGTACCGTTACCTTAAGACGCTTTTATGTCATTTCTGTTTATAACTTTCACTTAACCATGAAGTGAACCTCTTACGAATGAGGAAATTTACGTCAATACATGGATTTAAACTCGCTGAAGTAAGGTAAACGAACTTAATTCCTAGGAAGTGTTTTAAGTAAAACACCTTTCAATAATGGAATTAAATTCTACTGAGACCCTTTCATTTTTTGCACGAAGTGAAGTCGAATCAACTCGAGAACTACTGTTAGGTTGTGCCATTCTGCACGACCTAAGAATCATACTTTTTAAATACCCTGGAAACGGTGATAACAAAATGACGGATGAGGAAAGGTCATGACGTAAAACTGTGGTGCTGCGATCTGGTAGGCAAAGTGGGAAGTATAGAACATGGCGGATATAATACCTGTAAATGTAAAAAAACGCATGAGGATTTCATGTGTATTGCGGTACGGAATACACTTTCTAAGATTGTCTTATCAAAACCTTGTATCTCTCTGTATTTGCGATCGTGTATATTTTATTGAAAATCCAGGTGCCATAAAAGAAGGGGAAATTCTTGACTGTTAGCTTATCAGGACCTCTGCTTTATGGAATTATCCATTTGCAGAAATATTCATTTCGTAATCTGCGAAAGGAAATCGAATTAATTTATCTGTTTCTTCTTCCATTACATTTATTGATTAGGCCTCTGGTCTATTTCGATTAAGACTCAACTTCCGATGCTGTGAATATTTTTCAGACGTGTGGTAGGACTCTGGTTACTGCCTATTGCTACGAAACAAACTTCTTTTGTTTTGTTCGTTAATCTTGTGCGTGAAGTGGGAGTCGTGACATTTTTCGAAGTTCCGGTCACCTAGTGCGATCGTCGATTTAAAAAAAAGGTCCCGTTTGCGTGATCTTCGATTAACTAATTATACAGTGAATATTTCTGTGATCTCGGAAGAGTGAACACCAATGAAGTCTGGCCGATCCATAACACAGAAGATCACTTTATACTGCGCTGAATGGAAAACTCGTCAGTGTCGACAACCGAATGCCCGTGGAGGTGATTTCGAGTGCTGACGGGAAGATTTATGTAAGAAAATGAAAGAAAGATACTTTGGTCTTATGGTTCCTTATATCCGAGGCAGGGTTTAAAATATGGGCAAATGCTTACGTAATGTTTCAAAGGTGACTTAATCACATAATGTAATGTTTTTAAATGCTTCCTATAAGGACGTAGAGTCTACGTTATCACCAGATGGGAAGATGGGACAGCTGAGTCAGCATCACGAGTAGACTACGGGCTGGACGACCGAGATTCGATTCCCGACAGGGAGATGGATTTCTCTCTCATCCAGCCTCCTCCTATAGGGTGGATATGAAGGGGCTTGATTCTGGTGACAAAGCTGGCCAACCTTTTCTATCGAGTGTTGAGGTTAAGAATGCGTGGAGGTAATACCTCCATTCTCCCTAAAGTCTTTATCGCTCTGGACACTTCATCATGACTGTGCATTAGGCGTAGGAACAATTTTACCACACGATAACTTCCGCAGTTGCAATTAGAACGGACTGGGGGCCACGTGGTTTCCCTGGACAAGATTACATTTTATTCCCACTTTCGCTAACGGAATTAGAACCCTGGCCGCCCACTCCCGAGCCTGTCACTTAAACAAGAAATACATTATACCACTTTCCGGTACAACAGTTATGCGAAACGAGCTGTTTATTTCGGTTACGAGATCATAAACACGGAACACGAGCTGTGATGGCGAAGAATGCATTCTCTTTCATTTTAATGCGTGTAGCTGAAATGAATACTCAGTTCCTCATGTCCTAGCTAAAACCTAGTTTATTGAGAACAACTCTCGAGAAATAACTAGCAACAAACACACATAACTTGCAGCTTTCGCTGCGACTAACGATCATAAAATCCTCTGGGGCGACCAACCACGTCAACTCGGAACAAAAACCCGAGTTCTGCGACTTCTGTTCCGAGCTGACGCCCCAGAGGATTGTACCAACTAGTATTATTATTATTTAGTGTTCTGTCTGACGACAGGTCTATATGAACAGGATCCTTCCATCCTTTTCTCGGACTGGGACCTGTTCATATACGTTCTTGGCAGATGATCCAGAAGTGGTTTGCCATTGCCTTCTTCTGTGTGTATGGAGTAATGAGTAATTGTTGGGATGCCACGGAGAAAACTCAGTGTTGCCTAGACCACGGCCTTGCCCAACAAAAAATAATGTTATTAAGACGGCTATAATTAGCGTCTCAAATATACAACTCTTAAATAAGGTACCATTACCTATCGTCACTTCAGGTACAAGAATTTGCAACATGGAACATAGGAGTAGAAAATGTTTGTTACATTCAGTGGGGAAGGATCTCACCAGATACAGTAGGATGGTTCCCAGTGTGTTGAATAACGAGCCATGGAATAGCACAGGAACTTGTTTCTGGTAGTCGAAACACCTGGAAAGTGATCTGTCTGGTAGATACGTTGTGGAGGTTCCAAGTCTGAGAGTACAGGGCTGTATCACCACGGCAGAATCATCAGACGCAAGCAGATGAGGCAGTCTTGCATTCGCGAGTGGCTTGACTGACAACCAAGGAGATGTTCGTAGCATCATTCTTTCTCTACAGCGAATTGGTGATGTCCAACTAGTAAGAAGATTTTTATAATAATATCATGCAGATATTTACGGTGAGGTTTTTCACGCCTTGGAATAGAAGCTGATAAAAGATTAAGTACTTACACTTTTTCACATAGATCATACGCCGACACCACGTTTTAGAACGGAATATAGCCCGCAATACTTACTGCATGAAAGATAAATGAAACCATCGAACACTTGGGCAGAAAATTACCTTACCAGACGTCGGAGTTAGATTGCAACCAAACCCTACAAAATTTTAAGTAAAAATGGTCCGAACTATACCAAATCGTATGGGTAAACAATGGGAAGTTTCACGAGAAAATCAAGCTGAAATACGACGTCCGCCTCTGCTCTCAGCTACATCCGAAAGCTGCAAATTTCGCAGTCCGAATGTCATCACATTCCAACCAAAGTATCTTTGTACATTAGTGACGGGAATTTAAGTAGGGCTTGTCAATTCCATTCTTCGCGAAACTCGTCAGAGAATAAACTGAGAGTTTCCACCCAAAGTTGGCTTATGCGGGGGAACCCCTTACTTCAGCAACCTGGAAGGCACTTGTTCCCTCCAACAAGGGCGGTCTGAAGTCACCAACTGTTGATCTAGGAGAACTGATACTCTGTAGGTCAATTGAGGCTGCCCGTAAATTTGCAACAAGGTCGACGCAATTAGTGTCAAATACTACTGCCTTGACTGAGGTTTTCCGCGATTTTCCTCACTTTTAATGAAAATGCCAGGGTATAGTTGGAAAAGCAATCGATCTGCCTACTCTCAATTACGGACGCCCTCGGCCAAAATTATCATCGTTTTGATGATGGAGGCAGCAAGCAGCTCTGAAACGTCGGTAGACTTTTAACTTATCACACGACTGCTGCAACTATGCGCTCTCATTTCGACCACAGTCAAGTTTACACATTATTTTAGTTTGTAATTAAGTTCATGCTAATCTGCGATCCGATAACTTTTTCATTTAATTAATTCTAGAGTTTGGTACAGCCTTCGCTTGACAGCGAAGTATTACAGTCAGAAGAATCTTGTCTGTGATAATGAGGTCACCACGTAAAAGCTGTACTGGCATAGGGTGCACCATTTCAAATGAAGCTCAAAAACAATCACGTTATAAGGGAAAATAATGTAATCAAAAGGACCGCGACACTCGAGTTATTGTCACGCTCGTTGCTAGGTCGTCGCGCAAAAGTTGTGCAGGTGCAAACATGGTGTATTCACGAGAACGTGTGTTCATTCTCGAACATTGCTTCGCATTATCGTTTACTGCTGTTCGTGAAGCATTTAGCAATGAGTATCCTTTCCACGAAATACCTAACAATTCAACAATGAACCTATTGGTAACAAAACATCGGGACACAGGAAGCGTTTGAGACACGCTGTCCGATGTCAGACATTTTTGACAAGTGAGACGCTGTGAAACGTTAAAAGAACACTGATGTAACAAACACGTGGTTTGTCTTGTTATATCTGTGTTACAACGCTTATAAATACTGTTGTAGTTGCGTTTTAAATTGAACACCGTGTATTAAAAGTAGGAGAGCTTTTGAGAGATCCATCCTACACCATGCATCACTAGATGTTTGTGTGGTTATGTATTTATTGAAATTACTTAGTATCCGTGTTAATTAATGGCCGAATGTATACAAACTGTAATTGTCTTGACTTTTATTCTGTTTCCAGTACCAAATCTCTTCCCTGACCATTAAGTGGGTTCAGAGTTAAAATATTTAACATAACACACAACTTCCGCCTAAGGTGCTTCCTTTAAGTATAAACTACAGAACGCATTAAATATGGTCTACAAATAAATCACTCTGGGTACCAATACATTATTTTACATGTATTGATGCATATTATCACACAATATACTTAAACCTGCAACTTCATTATTACCTCACATAAATAATGCTCATGTAATAAACTGATTTAACAGATAAATTTAATTTTGACGTACCGGAAAAGAGATTTCAAACCTCAGCCAATGTATATACCTGAATTGTCTGCAACTTCAGTAAGATTAGTAGCTTCACTCTGCGTTGTAAGCGATAACAGCAGCAAAGATGCACCGAAGAAATTCCATTGATGAGATTCCAGCACGGCCATCTGTAGGCCTCAGCGGGGAAACAGTGCCGAAGAGAATAACGCGATCTACTTAAAAGTTGCGTACTTTCACCGAAAGTGTTTTTTTTCGAATCCGACTATACACCTACACTTTGACACAACGAAGCATGAAGAAATTAGAAGGGAAAGGTTAGTCGCGTATGAATATTATTACAAGAAGTCTATGTGCTTTGATCGCATGAGGTGTTTCATATAAACTGTGATAACAAAAACATTAGATAACGTTATATTAATGCTTATATGACTGTGCATGTACAGTATTATTTATACTCAAGCATCATGAACTCTGGCTATCACTAGCAGTGTAAATTACTCTTACTGAAGTGGCTGAATAACAGAAAATCTGTACATACAATTTGCAGCTTCATTTGCAGGAGCATGCATTTCTTATTATAACAACTGTACTGGGTAGGTAGACAGTCAACACAACCTCTGGGCTTCTTTTTTCTCCCATCAGTATACAAAATTTAGACCAGCTATATATATATATATATATATATTCAAGATAAAATATTATGTAATGTGAATATGATATAATATAAATAAATATGTACAAGAAAAATACTAAAGTTATTAAATTTATTTTTAAAAATTCTGCCTGCTTCAAGTACTGAAAAGAGGAAATCATTATCAATTGTAATAAAGTGTTTAATAATAACGAATTCATCAGCTGAATGGAGCCCACATGAAATCAGTGACATTTTTATATTATTTTTAACACAGATATGTGTTACATACCTGAACTGATTTTGTTATGAACAAATATAGATAAATTCTTTACGAAGATCACCGGATCTGATTATTTCCATTGATTCTTTAGTTTTCTAATGTTTTCTGCTGGTGCTTTTCAGGAACAAAACCCTCATGCTTGGCAAGAACCGACTGTCCTATTACTTCCTACAGACAAATTTTATCCACTAGGTGACCATCTGCATTCTTAAATTAAAATGCCAAATACAATACAGTTTTATTAACTTGCTTACACATTAAGTATTGTTTAGATACAGGTGCAAGAACAACTTAAAAACTCATGTTTCTCAAATCATAAAATGCAGTTCGGTTCTTCTTACATGACAGTGACAATATGGTTACTACCTTTCAGTGTCGAATATATTTCTCACTGCAACTGTCACAATGATCAACTACAGATATATTAATCTTTCATTATACTTAAATATTATTTATATAAGTTTTCTTTTCACACTTGCTCCCACAAATGGCAGGTACCATTTGAAGCAAACATAACCTCTCTTACTTCAGTCACAGAATAACTTAACATTCTCTCAAATGTGATTCAAATATTCATGCAGCAAAGTACAGAATATGACAAACTGAAAAACATAATGATTTTTTATATACAATGAAAAGAGGCATTACTATTCTAACCTAAAACACTGGTGATACTCTGGATTGGCCATTACTGCTTTGCCCACAAGTCTAATCTGACACTTGGACGTGAATTAGGCTAAAACATATTGTCTAGCCTAATACATATACAAGAATTAACGTCAGTACATCTGCAAGCGCAACAGCAGAGCCTTTAGAAGTCTGGCCTCATAAGTGACTGTGTTCTTGCCCTGATGTAGATGTGACTCTTCAAGAGGCTGTTCAATAATGGTCTTCACATCTTTACCATACGCTGCAATCGTAAAACTAATTAGTAGCACGACATATTTACCCTCTAACTGGAAAGGCTTTTGTTATGTAAGAAATGCCAGGCAATTTTAAGAAAGAGCAACACTTAACAAAGACTTTTAAGAGAAGAAAATGAGACCATAATTTTTTCCATTTATTAAAGTGTGATACATACTTTCACAGTGTTCCAGAAATTGAACACACTCCTGGAAAACTGAATCCCTTGTTACGATCATATGCTTTGCTAGATTTTCGATAAGTGACAGGAAACATCTCTTTGCATAGAACCTGAAAAATCATATTAGCACAGTAAAATATAATTTTGTTTATTTTTGTGTGTGCATTAAACCTCACCAAAATCAATTTCATTTACAATATATTATGGTCACAGGAGAAACAAAATAAAATGATAATGAAGTACTGAATCAAATAGTTTAGGCTATTTTAAGGGCCCTTAACGAGATCAGAGATGCACAATGGACCCTGCTGAGGTCTCAGTGCCTGGAGTGTTGTTCCCCCCCTATATCAATACAAATGCCAAATAATGTTTAAATGTTTGGTCCCTATGTTAAAGAAGACACAACTCTTCTCCATTATAAAGATCAATTGGTTAATGTTGTTGAAGGAAATAATTGTGACAAGGAAGGCAAATCTTGGCAACTATCAGTTATAAATGTGCTACAAAAAGAAGAAACAGTTAGTTAGACCGAATGAGTATCTCCTGAATACACAGCAAATATTCTATCACAGAGCCAAACTTGCTTGGTATACAAAAAGGAAAATTTTCACTACATTAAACAGTAACATTAAAGAAAAGAGAGTACATACCATGTGTCAGTGCCTAGCTTCTTGTTGTATGGCTCCAAACTTTTTATAACACGTGAGATTCCAAATTCGTAATTCCCCTTTGCACAGTATAATGTTCTGAAACAATAACAACTATGCAATAAAAAATTGATGTACTCATCATTTTGAAACTTTAGGTCCAAATACATACATCTGTACTGTTAAGATTTCTTTAGCTACAAATACAGTGTGGGTAAAACTTCATAACTGAAAATGTAGAGATGCACTGCAATTACAGAAATCATAATAAAACTTTATGAATTTCTCTGTAAAATTTCCAGTGTTATATATTCAGGGAACTCTTTTTGATCACTGAAACTAAATTACTATGATTTATTATTACTTTGAATTTTGATTAATGTGGAACTTTTTGTTGTTTTTTATGTAGTTTGATATCATTTAAAGTGCAATGACAATAAGACTATATGGTGAATAGGGAAGGATATGGCTGGAAGCAGTCATGACCCACTTTTGACACCAGAAGCTTGCAGGTCTCAGAAAAACTATAACAGACAGCTTTGGATACTCAGTTTCCTGCCAAATGTTCAAACCTGGACCTACCAGGTACAGAAGAGGATACCTAACAACCGCATTGTGTGGAATTTTATCTAAATTGTAGATCATATATATTTAGATAAACAGTAACTGCCGATATTCTCCTAAAAGTCTCACCCAATTACAAGATTTACGATACATAAGTGAAACAGTTTTTTGTCTGGATCATCATATGCCAAATGTTCCTCTTCTTTTTCTATCTTCCTCATCATCTCTTCTGCTTCTTCATTTTGTGAAGTCATGATGTATGAAACACAGAGATTTGCAAGAACAATAGCACTCACGTTCAGAATCTGAAACACAAATCACATTACTGATGTTATAAGTAAACCGGAAAGATAAGAACAGAATAACAGGCACAATAATAGTCGCTTATGAAAAGACAGAAGTAAATGTAATATGATCACCATATTATTTACTTACATTATCATAATGTTTTTTAACAATTGGTTCATAAAAACCTGTAGCTTCCTTAAATTTGTTCTCCTGCATAAAGAGTACATGAGCAACATTTAGCTTCCATATATCATTCTCATTGCAGAACTCCACAGACTTGCGAAAAATCTTTTCAACCTGAGCATAGTTTTCCAAATCCCAGTATATTTTAGCCTGTGCCATCAGCACTGGAATATACCTGCATGAGGAAAAATATGACATTATCCAAATTTTACTTTATTTCATACAAAATTTCTGAGGTAAACAATAAAATAATGACACTCTTATTTAAGTCATATACATATGAAAATAACCATAATGCAATTCAAGCCAGAATAATTCTGTAATGATATAAAAATAAATATTATCAAACACATAGATTAGTGTTTAATTAATTCTTTAAGGGGGCTCATACAGTAACAAATGTTTAAAAAACAGTTTTTGTTTCATGTTCTTAAAAACAGATCTAATCTTTTTTATATCTTAATTGCGTCATGTTTGTGTTTTATTGATACAATATTTTTATTTTCCGTCTATACACAAACTTAAAATAATGTTGTTTAAAATTATCTAAAATTATAACATTCTCAGTAGACACTGCATCATGTTACATTTTTTGTATCGACGACATGTTTCAATGTGTATCACATCATCATCAGGTCTATCAATTTTAATATGTACTACAGTTTTTAAAATATATTAAAATTGATAGACCTGATGATGATGTAATACACATTGAAACATGTCGTCGATACAAAAAATGTAACATGATGCAGTGTCTACTGAGAATGTTATAATTTTAAGTAATTTTAAACAACATTATTTTAAGTTTGTGTATAGACGGAAAATAAAAATATTAGATCTAATCTTTCTGAACATGTCTAAAAATTTACAGTTTAAAATTCCACATAATTTCTGAGATACCAAAGTTAAACAATTTAAATGTTTTACATAATGTAAAACCAAAATGATATTCTTCAAGGAGAGAGTCTGATATATAAAAGACAAATTTGTATATCTGAAGAATAATGAAAACTAGGGTCAAAAGAAATAGTAGCATGTAAACTTGACATTCATTACTCCTGACAGGAAGAACTGTGCTAACCAGCAATTCTGCACATGAGGCTATGTCCAGCAACAGTGAGGAAACTGTGTAATAAGCTGTCACACCCTTTTACAAGACACTATTCTAGCAAGTTCATACTAAACGATAAACTGATAACCTTTCTAATGCATCTTCATATTCGCCTACAGCTCTTTTTACAGATTCATCATCATGGTTTTGTCTTGCTTCCTGCACCTGTTTGGTCAGCTTGCGAAGTGTTTCGGTATGCTTGGAAGCAATTTCATCAAACTTACGATATGCTTCCTCGGCTGATGTCTGTTGAGTTATTAGAGCATCCAAGAAATTGTAGAGGTACTGCAATAGGAAAGTAGGCTAAGACACATTTATTTAGAAACACAGAAAAAGAAAATTATCCTTCTAACATACAAAATTTAAGAAACAAATTTTTATCTGGAGGAATTTAAACATTTCCTGACACTCTTATTACCATCAACAGAAAACTTTGTAAACTAAAAAGGGACAAATGGGCACATTAAATTGCAAAGTCACTTTCTATGCCTAAACATGGTGTCATGTGTATGTTCAACTAGTTGTGGTCACTGAGGGCTTCTAGCAGCTGGCCAGCCATGTGATTACATCACCCTGACTTTTCCGCAAGTTTCACACACATAACAACAGCTTACATAACCACCTGTCTGCAGACAGAGAAATTGAGAAGCAACTATAACTCTCAAATAGATATGGGGCCTTTATACTGTCTCCATCTTCAGACCAGAGTTACTACCTAGAAGATCAACACCGACATCTCCTCTGCTATGAAAACCTCAAATTTAAATACAGTTTCTTTCATGATTACAGTACTTTCTCCTTTTTGTGAAGAAGTAAATGTGTTAACAGATATGCTGGTTACTTACTGGCGTAAGATATTTGTACGTGAGGTGGGCATTTTCTGCTAGAACATCAGCTGCCAGATCATAATACTCATACTTGCAATATAGAAGAAGTAAGTTTCCAAATGTTTCAGGAGGAAATGGATTCTGCTGCAGCAGGAACTGAAGTTTCTCAAAGCCTTCAGTAGGTTTAGTTTCCATGTTCATCAGTGCTTGGTTGTGGAGTGTAACAGCATCTAATTCTTCTTCTGAGCGAGGTGGCATGTCTGTGAGTGCTTCTCTGGCTGATTCAACTGCAGACAAAAACACCCACTGTTCTGGAGTTCACAGGTACGGACGACGCAACTACAGCTCGCTGCAAACCCGCTACGGCCATTGGATAAATAGCTAAGTGCAGAGTCTATTCCTATGAATAACAACATCTGGTGCAGTGTCGCTTAAAATACTTTTCGTCAAATGTCCTATTCATTATTTATTTTCTAAATCAAGTTTGAGCCATTTAATTAAATTAATTAATTTCCCTGATGCCACTGATGATGACCTCTTGAGGTTGAAACGCATATGGCAGTAGTGTCTTTTTTATAGTGTTAATAGTTGTTTGTTTGCTTATTTATATTAGAATATCAAAGTGTAAGAATAGTAACAAATACAGAACAATTGTTACAAGTGTTATTGTTTAATTCTTTCAAGTGCACTAAAGAAAAAATCATAATCAACTGTAACAGTGGTGAAATGAAAACTTTTATTGTAAAGAACCCACATGGAAACAGTGAAATTGTTACAGCATTAAAGGATAAAGTAAAATCATGCTTAAAATGCATCATACTTTGAAAACATATGGAGTCGACTTAAAGTCCAGATATTCTTAACCTCAGAATTGGATGTGGGTGAGTGGTCAGCTTCATGCTTCAGCCCCCTTATTCCCAGAGAAACAGCCCTTGGTACACATTGTATAGGTTGGTTAGGTCCCAAAGCTGTATGACAGGATGAAGAAGAAGAAGAAGAAAACAATCCTACTGCTGGGATTTGAACCCTGGTCATGCAACACATACATAGCCATTCTACTCAGTATTTATTCAAGCTATGTCTACTTTGCTGCTACATCATAAATTACAATTGTATTTTATGAGCAACAGAACAATATTTTGCACTCAAGCTATTCACCTTCAAATAGTCTATCATATGATCATGCTACTTACAGTTTTTGAGATGATATTCAATGGCTGCTCTCAGGTTGAAGGCTTCAATAAGTGCAGTTTCATGCAACGTGAGAGTGTTACCAACACTTCTCATTTCGATACCTTCTGTTGTCATGCCTACACTTAGTTCAGGGTGTTCACAGATCCCACGTTCAATTATATCGGCTGAAATATTAACGTTACAAATATTTACTTGTACGCGAGTACATAAAACTGTATGCCTGCTAATTTAAGCATACAATTATTACCTTTATGGTGTTTCTTAAATATTCAAATATCTCTTACAATAAAGGCCTAGAAAATAAAACAGTAGATGAAGGATGTAAATGGACAAACAAGCAAGGGATAGTATATCCTCAAAGACAAAAGCAACAATGCTACCAAGAAAAGAATCCTCTTCCTGCTAAATACATTTTAAGAATTCTTACTCCCAGAAGTCTGTTTCTTTTTATATATTTTCCCACATATTCATATTAATTTCCTTATTCTTTGTATAAAAATGTTTATATAAAGCACAAGAGAATCACTAGCTTCGAGACCTAGGGAAATAATGGTAATTAACAGGAACCAGAAAAATCTGTTAAATTAACACTAACTGATGTTGTGATTTAAAAAATGCATATGCCAACTTTTTAATAGCTAATGCACACCTCAATATTCACTGATATTTCAATCTCAGAAGTCTCTGCCCTATTAAAAGTAGTATCAGCCTCATAAATGGATAAGTCTGGCCACAATATATATTTGGGCATAGGTACTGGCAAACAACTTGGAATGTGGTGACATCGCAGTTCTAGGAAACTGATAGCAAATCAGTGAAAACACATCTGACTGTGGAGTTGACTGCATCACTTGAACTACTACCCACAATGTAAACCTGAGATCTGAGATAAATGTTTTCAGCATAGTGTGGCCAAGACTTCCACCACAATTATTATGAGTCATTCACACAACAAGCAGTTTACCCATATCTTTAACCAAAGAAGACCATCATATGAGTTTGTTATATTTGTAACAAAAAAGGGACAAAAAAGTATAATACATTCTGTATGTTCTGTAAAATTGAAGCCAAATCCATCTAATAGCATGGGGCAAAGTCCTTCTTTTATAAGCTGATAGTCACTCAGCAACTCAAGATATTCCCTACTTTTCCCCCCCAAGAGCCCACAACTGTATTCTGTCCATATCATCATGCCCTCAAACATTCCTTTAAAATCCATTTGTATCCACCCATCTATCCCACAATTAAGTCAGAATGCATAGGGTTAAATATGAGTTTCTTACATAGATACCATGTCATGAAGTTATCTGGAAGATACAGATAGCAGGTGCTACACATGAATCAAAATGGTGTATGCAAAAAATTTCAATGTAAAACGTACATATGTGTTTCAATGCAGGAGCATATTCCTTCAACCTGTAATAACAGAGAGCAACATTGTAGGAAAGATGAGGACTGTACCCAAGCACTTGAAGAACTGTACTGAATTTTTGTAGTGCATCTTCAAAGCGACCTTCCTGGAAGAACAAAAGGAAAATATCAGAATCAACTAACAATAAATATTTATAAAAGGGAACAGGAGTACTTCTTCTAAAGAAGTTACTCTGCTGTAATACTTCCCCTAACAGTTACAAGAAAAGTCATAAATGAAATAGAAAAACATTTCAGAGAGTTAAGTTCTTGACAGTAGTGTTTGTTACAAGTATATCAACAATTATATTAATACCAGTACTTTTTCCTGGAAAAAGAAAGGTACCATAACTTATGTTTAATGACTCCCAAGAAAGGGGTTTGATCATAATGAAAGTTATTAAAATATCAGTCTTAAAATACTCTTTGGCAATGGAAAACATGATAAGAGGTTATAGTTATAAGACATTCCAAGTATGCACCATGTTGTCTATGGCTTTGTTGTCTCAACTTCACTGTTGGATATCTGTATATCTTTCGCAAAGCAGCCATAACTGGGTCAAGCTGATTAAGAGGGGGCTGAACAATTCTGATGAACAGCACTGCCAAGATAGTGTTAAGCAACAAACATCTTGATGGAGTCTATGAGTGTTGTCCTGAAAAGTGTCCACATTCAAATGAAGAAAAAAATTTTTATGGAGTCTATGAGTGTTGTCTCTGAAAAGTGTCCACATTCAAATGAAGAGATAGCAATTGTGTCAAGAGAAATTTTGAATTAAGGAGGAGATGCAATTTTGTTACATTGTGAAAAATGTCTATTTTCATACCTCACTTACTCAGGTGTGACAGCTCACACACACTTATCGTTTATATCAAGTATTTATTGACATATGGTAAATAATAAAATTCAGCACAGCACTTCTACTCTGCTCTGAAATAACTCTATCTCTAATATAAGGTGTGAGTGTGTCAGCCTCAGTTTGTAAGATGCCAGAACAATTTTGATCAAAGTAAGAACTTACAAAAATAAATTAAACTTGGTAGAATGACAGGATGTGGCCTTGAATCTCCAAAACAGACAACAGCAACAATGCTTCCAGGCAAATAGCTCAGTTTACAAGTTGCACAAGTCCTGGCCCACCTATTACTGCTTTCCACACCACCACATCTCTCATCCTACCAAGTTTCACTAGTTCCCACCACTCTTCCTACAAACAGACTGGAACTTTTCAGACAGTCTACATATGCCATAGATCTATAACAACTCAGTAATTGACACATTGTTCGTGAAACTGAATACAAAGTACAACAACAGAAACAGTTAGTGTTGTGTAACCTCAAAAAAGTCTATATAAAATTCAAATAAACATACCCAGATATTGCAATAAGCTTATCACGATGTTCTGGACTACTGGAAAGACCAAAGTGTTGTTTTTGTGTTTGGAGGTTATGGTACACACATTACATATATATGCATAATTAATCAGAATATAAAATGCATGATGCAAGTAACATATAGGTGTCCATGAGTGCAGGAAATGATAAGTATGTGTGTGTAACAATGAGAATGAGGATTGTATTTATAGTGTGTGTACTTCATGTCCTTGTGCAGACAAACTGGAAGTATTACTTTAGAATGAACTTGATCACATAACAATAGCCTACAGGCAGTGGGTAGTGACAGAGCAACTCTTATGACTGTAACATGGCATTTTCACCGAAAATATTGTGTCTAAGATGCCTGAAATGACTAGTCTTCATTATACTGCCCAACAACAAGCCAGATATTTGAAATAGTCAAAAGAGAATCTGCTATCATACCAGTGCATATTTATGCTCTAAGATGACATAAAGGGATCAAAAGAGAATCTGCTATTAGACCAGTGCGTATTTATGCTCTAAGATGACATAAAGGGGTTCTCACTGGGCACACAATCAACCAGTTCTTCATCCTTTTATTGTTTATATTAAAGTTCAACCAACACCTTCAAATGCCCTTCTGTGTAATTAATGACTGCCTTGACTACTTTATGCATTTCAGAGGACATTAGTATAATATGTATGCACTAAACTTCCTAACCTAAAGAAGGCTATGTATTAGAGTGATGGCAGTGCAGCTAAATACAAGAAAGAGAAAATTTAATAACATCTACCATGAAAAAGATTTCGGTCTCTCTGTTGAATTTCACTTTGGATGTGTCGAGCCCTACTCTAGTCCACTGTCACCCAGAGAAACCTAACATAGTGATTTCACTGCTTTTATGATCAAATCTCTCATTCAATTCCAGTAACCTAAAATTGTACATTAAGTACCAAACCTTAATTTATATAAGGCTTTATGCAAATAATATACAGAACAATTAATATTCCATAAGCAAGTAAATTAACTTTAAAACAGTAAGTTTGAAGCAAACTTACTTTATATAGAAGACAGCCATGGTTGATTTCTGTGTCTGGATCATCCTCTGGACTGCTGTCTACAAGACTCTTTGCCCCAGCAAGGTCTTCCTCTCCATACTTTATGGCTGCTTTTAGTTTTGTAATCTACTGACAGAGAGGCAGATGCAAAAAAAACACTTCTTAGATATTATCTACTCCAGTTGCTCAAAGTTTCTATTACATATTTTGAAAACCTCCTTGAATTAACATACAAATCTTGCAATCCTTTCCAGGAAGTTGCTTCATCACCATACAGCTGTATGCTGGTCAACCATTCAGTTACATCAAGTCAACTTGTGAATTGTGCAACACATAACTAACTACCCCTGCCATTATTACTGCAAGAAGTCTTCACTAAAAGTTAATTCATATACTATAATAACTTCACACACATACACACACACAGGTTGTCCCACCTAACTCTGTGACTTCAAACAACTCTCTTATTTTAAAATATACAAAAAGAAAAAAGTTTCATTCAAAATGTAATGTCTGAAGGTAACATTAAGCAGTAAAATATTAGTTATGGAACTGTTATGAAGTTCTCAACACAGGTCCACCATATCCATTCCAAAATTATGGTTTTCCTGCAAATTTCGCACATGTAGCGAGATGAGTACTTCATGGACAGTTTTCTGATTATTGGATCAAACACAGTGGACATGTGTGGAGGCTACCACATTCACCAAATGTAACACTGTTATATTTCTTTCTTTGGGGAACAACAAAGGATAAAGTCCACCACAATCTTGTTGAAACAGCGAAGAAAAGGAAATGTGAATTGTATGAAAGGGGGTGTTGATACAAGCAGGGGCATTCTAAGGCTCTGTTAGATAGTGATTTTGAAATTCTGTTGGACAATAAAAGAAGAACAGCTACTTGGGATACCATTGATGCACCAGCCCATGGATCCCATCCACAAAGACCACCCTGGGCTAATTGCTAGAATCACTGCACTGCTGCACCCTTTACTTTATCTGGCCTGAATCTATAACCCTTAAGTAATTTCTTGAGGGGACAAAACATATTTAAGTCACAGTGAGAAATTAGCAACCCCATAATATCAACAATAAAAAATTATACAAAAAGCACTGATGATAGATCTCACACCCTCAGAATAAACTTTCACGCCACCATCTTAATATCTGAACTCTAAATCTTGACAATATTTTTTTATAACATACACAAGGTCTCCTTGTTCATATTTACAATCAGTCATCACAATTACCTTTCCTTGAAAAGCTGGATCATTAATCTGGGCAGTAACTTTCATTGCGTTCTCATAAAGACAAGCCTGGTACAGAGATTGAGCATAGTAAAGGTGATACTCTGCTTCTTCAGGCTGGAGAAGGGTCAGTTTCTCATAACACTCAGCTGCATTTCTGAAATCCTGAGTGTAAAAGTAGCAGAATGCCAAAAGAGACAGGCCTGCTCTTGACTGAAATGTAACATTTAAATACAATGTATAAATTCTAATTTGCCCTAACAGCATAGTAATACTAAAATATAAAACAATTGTTCTACAGCGACTCAACAAACCTGCATGCCATATACTTTTATCACATGGCTGAAACAAGGCATTAACTCCTGGGTTAACAATTTAGTGATAAGCTAGTGCAATGCCTTGTCAGCTGGACTGTGCATAATCCATGATGCATGGATGATAAAGGTTAATATTTTCTGCACTAATATTAGCACTGACACTTGTACTTATATATTTAAAACATGTGAATTTGAACTTACTGCTTGATTTGTTTCCAGTACATTGGTTAACACTTGTATTGCATCATTGTATCGTTGTTCTTTGATCTAAAAGTAAATTAAAAATATACATATTACTATGACAGTTACACCCACCTACCATCACCAAATTCCTATTTCATTAAAATCCATCTTCATATCTTCCTGTCACATTTTTAATCATCCAAATAGCCATCCTCTTCATGGTACCCTCTAAAACTGTATGCAGGTTCTCCCCATCCAAGCTATACATCCAGCAGAAGTTAAATGAGCTAAATATAGTTATACAATTCAAAGTCTACAAAGTCTGAAAGTCTATGGAAGCAGTATTTAAACAAACCTACAGAAAACTAGTGCATACAACAGAGGTAAATAGAATACAATGCATACAACATAAAAATAATTTAAGTTTGAGTATGTAACTTTGTCACAAGTGTTAAAATTCCCTTATGAAAAATGTGTGGGACAGTGTCACTACTACAATTTTACTTGAATGCAATCCACTTTACTTCAAATTTAAAGAACTGAAAATTTCCAACGAACACGTGATATTTACATTACCATAGTATAAATTGTCTTTGTATATTCTCCATCCTTGATCTGTACATTCTGAATAAACATACCGATCTCACGACGACGAACTATTTAGAACTTGAAAAAATGTTCTCTTTCAAAGTTTCTATTCTAGTTGTCATGACAACACAAGCCAAAACATTATATCGACCAATGGCAATTAACTATCGACTATCGACATAACCGATTAAATTCAACTCGTCTGCGATAAAATGGCGTGTAGGACACATCTGTGACAGGTAAACTGTCAGTACATAGACGTAGCAAAGTGTACGTCGTCACCGACAAAAATTTGTAATATACCGATGTAGCATATGCTGAACGGTGATGACGTCTACATGCACATAAAAACTATCATGCCTGTCCAGGCACACCCGACTCGCACATACATTATTTGTGCATACATGCACCATGGATTAATAAGATATATAACAATAGATGTGGAACACAATGCATGTTGTAGATATTAAAATAAATCAATATGATTACAAAGATTTTACACATCACAAACAAAGGGTTAGCATAAAGGAATATGATACAAGTACATCCACCCATTAAATACAGTAGATAAATTACACTAACCATCAAGAAATAAGAAAACCGTAATGAACATGATGGCTTATTTTCAAACATTATTCTTAAAATGCGAAGCCCACAACGAACAAAACTCAGTCGTATGTAACAAATTCCACATTCCGTAGCACAAGAATTATGTTGGAGTAGACGCAGAATTATTCACTTACTAAAACGAAAAAAATAAAAAAGTTTTGGGCGAACCCAGCCTGTTATATTGAAACATAATATAAAGGATGTTATTCTCAGGTTCTCACTGCGGCAAGTATGAAGATGGATGTCTTCAGAATATGAAGAATTTAAAGCTATGAGACAAAATAAGCAAACAGAAAACAGTAATGCGCTTAAAATAAAGAAAATCAAACTGAGTAGGGCAGCAAACTGGAAGAAATGCTGAAGAATTGCCAATCAGGGACAAAGGAAATGCGAAATTAATACAAAACTATAGAAAAGCAGGAAACGTGGACCATAACCAGAAACTAACACAGGGAAAAGCGAACAGTAAAAGATAAAGGGGTGCAACTAATATGAGGAGGAAGGACAGACCCAACTATTATGTATGCTAATACAGAGGGGATGGGTAAAATCCTGAGGAAACTCTTTTAGACTGATTACTGTAGTTAATATTGCAAAGCAAATGTTCTTTGGGTTTTGGGATTATATTTTTTCGATGATAATAAATGTTTAGCCTGCCTATCGGATGTTCAGGCCTATTACAAGTTCTGGAGGAAGAAAGGTAAGAGATGGCAAGGTCTCCTCAAATTTCCCCACAGTAACACTGTTGGCATTCTGCTAGTTTCTATTGCAAATAACACAAGCCTGATATCGATAGTCGAAAGAAATACCGAGATACGGTTGCATGGTTTTCGTTTGACAGACGTAACGTTGTGACGTTGAGTTGATTTAATGTGTTGAAGAGTTGTGCTGTTAGTTCGGCTTTATGTAATTTATTATGGCAGTGTTTCATCCAACTCATAATGGTGATATAGTTCATCTAAATGTTGGCGGAACAAGGTATGGAAGGTTTAATTGTATTCACTTTGTGTCCATCCTGATGTTGATAAACGACAAAGTTCTGCAACAGTTTAAGTATTTTAATGTATGAGTTATTGTAAAGCAAACATATACTGAAAGTGGACAGTAACTTTTGTTTCTGTTACAGATTTTCGACTTCTCGCCACACCTTGATGTGGGTGCCAGATTCTTTCTTCACAGCCCTTCTTAGTGGCAGAATATCAAGTTTACGAGATGAAATGGGAGCCATATTCATAGATCGGGACCCTAAGCTTTTTGCTACTATTTTGAATTATTTAAGAACAAGGGATACCGGGACCCAAAGCTTTTTGCTACAATTTTGAATTATTTAAGAACAAGGGATATTGACTTAAGTGTAGATATACGCGCATTTCGGCATGAAGCAGAATATTATGGAATTGCTCCATTAGTGAAGAGATTGATGTTATGTGAAGATTTAAGTCAGTCTTCATGTGGTGATGTTTTGTTTTATGGATATCTTCCACCTCCATGTATGTATATTATATGTTCTCTTTAAGACCTGTTATTGAAGAAACGTGTGTCACTTGTAGTTCACTGTTATATAAGGATCATCACATTAGTCCATAATGTGCTACCAGGCATATTGGAGGAGGAGTACTGTGCTACACTTGTACTCAGGAGGCAGAGTACTAAGTTGAATCTTGGTTGAGCTGGTGGTTATGTTTTCTGAGGGTTTACTTAGTTTTGTGTTTCTCCAGGGCAGTGCTGGTCATGATCACCTCTTTCCAGGTCCTTACTAACTTAAAATTTCCATTTCATTTGATGTTCAGTGCAATTTAAAAGATATAGAATAGAACATAATTGCTTTACATTCTATAGATCCTTCATAGGCCTAAGCCATGGATGTAAACATGTCATAGCACAAATATAATACTTGTTTCTTATACAAATATAAATTACAAAGTTATGACAGTAATACAGGATGAGTCAAAAGTGTGTTTACAAACCTTGTGTGCATGTTCATGGATCACAAATAAGGAAAAATATTCCTATGAACATGCGGTCACAAATGCTTCTTTTTCAAAATAATAACCAAAAATAAGTTTCAATGTGTCTTTTTTGCCACGTATAAGGACAGGGATATTTCTTTATGACAGCTGCTCAAAGGTTGCTCCTTCATTCTCCACACATGCCCGAGCACGACGTACACAAGACTGGCGTATTTGTTTGTACACACCAGGGTTTCCTCGAATCATCTGACATGCATTCTGCATACGTTCCCATAGGTTGTCTGCATTGTTTATGGGTGTTGCATAAACGATGGACTTCTATCTAGTTGTTTTATATAATGCTTTAATTAGGTCAAAGCCTCTTCCTTGTGGAATAATATTACATCGACCAACTCCAGTAAAATATAAAACATACAAGAAATTTGCCAGTTTGTGTTATATATTTTTTCAGTTTGGTATTTTATGTTATTTTGGTTTTGTTAATGTCTTTATTGCCACGTATAAGGACAGGGATATTTCTTTATGACAGCTGCTCAAAGGTTGCTCCTTCATTCTCCACACATGCCCGAGCACGACGTACACAAGACTGGCGTATTTGTTTGTACACACCAGGGTTTCCTCGAATCATCTGACATGCATTCTGCATACGTTCCCATAGGTTGTCTGCATTGTTTATGGGTGTTGCATAAACGATGGACTTCTATCTAGTTGTTTTATATAATGCTTTAATTAGGTCAAAGCCTCTTCCTTGTGGAATAATATTACATCGACCAACTCCAGTAAAATATAAAACATACAAGAAATTTGCCAGTTTGTGTTATATATTTTTTCAGTTTGGTATTTTATGTTATTTTGGTTTTGTTATAAATTGTGTACATTTTAGAAGACATTATTGCAGATACAGATGATATATAAATGCTTTATTTCTTATTAGTGTTTTCAAGGACAAAATAAATTGTCGTTCCATCATGGACACTGTTCATTTTTGTGTGTCTGTAAGGCAAATAAGAGAATTTTCTGCTGACAGCATGAGCAGTACAGTCAGATATAATCCTTCAGCTAGGTATGACATTGCTGCAAATGGCATGTGCAGATTTTGGACATTTTTGGAAAAGCAGGACACCATCTTAGTGTGACATAGTGTTTGGACTGATTATGTATTTAGTTTATTTTTGTTTTAACTTGGCTTTATTGTTTTATGTTCTTTATACTTCTTTAATCATCTTGTGCTGACTCAAGCTGTTGAGTTAGCAAGTTAAAATAAAGAATTGAGATTGCAAATTATCACATTCCGTAACCCAAGGAGTTTATCAGTGAAGGGGATGATACCACTATGTGTTTACCTTAGAAGGCTTAGGTCTTAAATGTGTCACTTTTGTAACAGGTATACCAGTACAAGATCCTGGCATGGTGTGCTCATCATCTCCACCTGGTGACAACTCTACAGCTGTCCATGCAGCAGCTCGTCCAGGCTCAATCATCCGTGTTCCAACGGATCTTAATACTGCATCAGCAGCATCTACCAATGGCAGTACCACATTGAGCACAGCTCAGCCATCATCAGTGTCATCTTCCTCATCTTCAGCTTCATCATCAGCATCTTTGTCGTCATCTGTAATCACAACTGTCAGTGCTTCAGCCCAAGTACCTGCACCTTTGCCTCTTTCAGTTCCTCCTACACCTATAGTCACCCCTCCATCTACTGCCACATCAGTGTTGGCTGCTGTAACTATTAACCCCATGTTGCCAACTACTGCTGGTAATGGGATTTTATTACCTGGTGCACATACCCATGGAACACATCCACAGCCTACCCAGTGGTCTATGCCAGGCCACTCACGAAATTCATCCCTTGATCTACGGGTGTCATCCAACGGTTGCGCAGCAGTAGCTTCTCGGAGCTCAAACGACATCCGCAATATGGCCGGTCGATCCACTGTTGGTCACTCCAGGGCTGCTTCCTTAGATCTTCGTCATACACGCAATTCTTCAGCAGACCTCAACAAGCTTTTTCGTAATGATGTGGGTCTTGTTTTTGGGGCTCATCAAGGTATGAATTTATAAACCATTTGGTTTTGAATAAATTTTCATTCTCTGTCCTGTTAATAATATACAGGATGAAACAAAATTTGTGCACAAGCTCTCCATAGTGAGATTCCTTGTTCAAAAAAACATGTTGAGAATGTTATACAACATATGTCCTGTGACATTCAGTTTTCTTATGGCATATCACCATAAGAATGTACAAGCTATAAAATGATCAGACCGTGGGCACCTCATGGTTACAATAAGTGTTTGAAGCGGCTAGTTGCTTCCAGAATGTAGTACAGATTTTATTCTTCCAATAGTAATGTAACCAGAAAGTATGTGAGCAAGAATTTTGATAATCTTCGATATCAGGTGCTGCATTACAAGCCGACCCAATAGCCCAACATTGGGTATTGTAAATCCTTCTACCCGTTTAATCAGGACTGTGGAGTCGGAGTCGGTAAAAATGTACCGATTCCGATGTAAAATCTTAAGAAAATACTATTTTAACACTTTTGCTACCATATGAGCCACTGGCGGTCTCACTCTTAGGGAGATTTAACGATGTGTTGAGCCACGTGGTGTGGGAATAATGCTTTGTAACTTTGGCTTCTGTACCTTAAGAATACAAACTGTCTACAAATCGTCTACAAATCAACCGATTTCTGCAATAACCATTAGACATATATTTAAATATAGGTTATAAATCTAAAAAGTAGCCTGATGATTCACGTGGTGGTGATGAAATATCTTATGGTACCATTTACCATTTTAGTAGGTTTACCCTTATTAATACGTATTGAGCTTGTATGAAGGAGAAGGAGTCTGAGTAGGAGGTTTTATTATCGACTCCACAACCCTGTGTCTAATACTACTACTTCTCTCCATGTGCCATCGTCTACATCTTCAAGCTATTCTGATAATTTATTTTTTTAATCAGAAAAAAATGTATGTTCTGTACAGATCGTTCCTCATCTAAAAGCTTCTCTGTTGAATCGTGGTCTGGATACAGTCCTCATACCATATTTGGTTCACTCAAACAGGGACCTTTCAAGGGACCTGCTATTTATTTATTGATAATAAATTTTTGTTATGTAAACGAGAAAACTAATGAAAATACACAGTGGACATTTGACCATAACTGTAGACCATACCAATGGTAAAGGTACTTTGAAATGAATCTTTTAAGTTAGAACAGGCACATATTAGTGTACTAGTAAATGATATGAACCCTTCTAGTATTTGTTGCATCAACAAAATACAGAATTGCACAAGAAAATCAGTAACAAAAGTATTCAGTTGTGTAGAATCCCTAAATGAAGCTCACAAATCTGTGTCTCTGGAACTGAGCTGTAAAAATAATGTTATAATCAACCTTCAAATAAATTTGTATTGAAATGTTTCTGGACTATTTATCAGTGTGAAATCAGTGCCTTTTCATATCAAGTTATTGAAATAATTTACAGCTCTGTGCTAAATGTTTATTTGATAGTTACAGAATTTAGCCAAAAGTGAGGTGATTTCCACTTAAAAATTTTAGCTCTTAGTTGTTAAGGGAGGCTGTGTAAAAATATTTATAAAAGAAAGGAAAGGGGCCCTTTTGAAAAGAAAATTTATGAAGGTTATATGGTTGTCATCCTAGAGTACACCAGCATTGTTTTCGTGGATCACGATCAAATACGACTTTCACAAAGTGATGTCACATGATGCGATGCAGAAATGACTGGCAGAGAAATGGTGTATATTTAGTAATCATTTGTTTTTATTTTCATTCTTTAGGATCTAACTGGACAGATCCACTGAGAGTTCAGATTGTTAAGGCCCATCACAACTGGATAGCTGTAGCTTATGCCCATTTTGTAGCTTGCTATAGGTGAGTTCACAGGTTTTAGTTTATATCTAGGTTTCCTGTTAGTCCACGTCTCTGAAAGTGTACTAATATCTAATGCATTTAAAAACCATATTATTTACAAATTAATAATGTTACCAGTTTTCTTGAATGGGGATAAAACACGGTTTCTCTGAAGAAAAAATATACAAACATGTAGTTTACAGGAATTTCTTTTTTCCTAAGAAGAAAGATGTGAATGTACTAAATAATTAGCAACTTTGTAATTTACACAGGCTGCCATGTATTATTAGGATAGTGAAATTTAGGAGGCTGTGATGGGCTGGGCATGTGATTAAAGTAGGAGAGATTATTGCTTACAGAATTCTGGGAGAAAATTGGTTTGTAAATGTTTGCTTGGAAAACTGAGGAGATGGGGTTAGCTATGATTGTATCCAGTGATAGACTTTGGTATTCACAGTGTTGAACTTTCATGTTCTGCTACCATGTGAAACTAATCCATGATATGTCAATCTCTTCCGGAGGGATTTGACATTCCCATGGCATTGCTGTGCAGATGACCAACGTTGACTCCTGAGTGGTTTAAATGTAGGTCCCTGATCGCATAATTATTTCAGGATGACATAGAAATATCCATCAAAAACAACTGATCGAGTGCAGCCACGCAGTGCTGACTGAACTAGGACTGACAATGTTATGAGTATGCAGGTTAACAGGGTCCACTTTAGTAAGGTTTTGTTGTATATGGGATCCACTGTGCTATATTACAATATTTTATTTAATTTGCATTTAAATAAGAGCTGTTTAAGTTGAAGGAAATAGGTGATTATATGAATGTGATTTATTTATAGATTAAAAGATTCAAGTGGGTGGCAGCATGCATTTACTAGTCCTCATATTGAAAGCTGCATTGAGAGGATAGCCATCAATGCCAAGATGGGACAAGGAGGTGGTGGGGAGGCATCTTCCAAAATGGTGGCCATCTCATACGGTAGCCAAGTTCGACTTTGGGGGGTGTCCGAGGATGGAACAAGGACTAACGTAGGTGAGTTAATTTGATGACCGAATTATATTATACCTTTAGCAAGTTACCAAAAGCATGTTTGTGTTAACTCTTGCCAATATAAATAACATAAATTTGTAATTCCATCTGTTGTGCTCCATACCTTCAAAAAGGTGGAGCACAGAAAACAGTTTTAAATTAGTCTTTTCCCCAAGAAGAAACTGACATATTTTGAGTTTGGAAGGTGGTGTTCCATGTCTCAAGAACAGAACGGAGAAATTATTTCCACTTCTGTACTGTAACTTGTTGAAACAGAATCAAATTATCATGCTTTGTTTTCCTGAATGGTTTGACTTCAGAATGACAATTGAGAGAATATAATAATTTGTCATTTATTGAAATAAAATATAATAACTTTAAAGTATATATCATTTATCCACACACATTAACCTAACCTAACCTAACCTATTTTTAAAGTGATGTGTTGCGATAACCCACAAGTGCCCAATATTGTATGCGTACGAGAACATGGTGTTATATAACATTGAAGATGTTACTTATATTTTTTACTCCTCCAGGAACATTCAACCTGCATGTAAGAGTGGAATATTTGTTCTTCATTGGAAGCCAGTTGGTAGCATTGTCACCTACAGGAAAGATAGGAGTGTGGCATGCAATGACTCAGCACTGGCAGATCCAAGATGTAGTGCCTATTGCATCATTTGACACGGCAGGCTCATTTCTGTTACTTGGCTGTAATAATGGTGCAATTTATTATATAGGTAAGTGGCCCATCCTCCTATCCATTGAGTACCATGTGCTGCTTTTCAGAAGGTAAAATGTCCAGAGTATGAAGTTGACTACAAGTCTCCGTTAAGTGAGCTCAGAGCTCCGTACGCTGCTTCACAACACAGTGCTTTGGCACAGGGACTTTACTTTATAATGGCTTATTTTATAAATTTTTTGTATGGAATTCTAGAAGGTAATTGAAGTTGTGAGTGAATGGCAGCTTGTGTGGAAGCATGCTTCTTCTCTCTTCTTCTTCTATGGCTCTCCGGTCCATATTCGGTCCACGGCCTCCTCAATTCTCCTCTTCCATTTGGTCCTCTGTTAGGTCCATCTGTCCGAGGCTCTGATTAAGGTTTTGAAACATCTTCCTTTTTGAGGTGCAAGGTTGTTAGCCTTGCGACCAACCCCCAACCTGGAGGACCAGGGTACCTGACTAAGTCTGACCTCTCCCCCTCAACCAATCTGGCTAGGGAGGCCCTACCAGTAGCTATGCTACTGCCAGCATATGCCTGGGATGTGTTCCTGGATGAACCGGCATAAACGGAATCGGCGTAAATTGAAACTCTTTTATAATGTAAATCAATGGGAAGTCAATGACATGCGTTCCCAGCACCCAAACATTGACGAGTAATATAATGGCATTACATTTAAAGCTCTGAAATAACGTAAATAAAATAAAGGGAATTTAAAAAATATATTTTATACACTTACAATCGGCAATTCGTTGGTCCCCGCGATTGACTGCAACTCGCATATGCAAAAGTTTGTGTTTCACAAACAGCTTTTACTGATTCAGCGATCTCATTGGAGCAAATTCATGTTAACGAAACATACGTAACTGCAGAGATGACTGTACACATCAATCACATGAAAGAATTGCAGTCAATCGCGGGGACCAACGAATTGCCGATTGTAAGTGTATAAAATATATTTTTTCACTTTTTGACTCGCTGGTTTCAAAATCGACTTTAGTCTGAATCGGCGCAAATCGAGGGCTACCTGTATATTACAGCATGGTGAACATTTGTAGAACTGTTTTGTACTCTTCCATGGAACTGTTCTGTCCATGACATTGTAGGGGTTAACTGTAATGATATGTTGCGCAAGATTTTATCAACATTTTCTCCTGTTGTCATTTTAATTATTAAAATGTGAGTCATCTTAGTGACATTTCTGTAGTGTAAATATAGAGTTATTCAGTTTTCATAGTAATTTATAACAGAAGTTTAATGTAATTGTTTTATGATCTTCAGATATGCAGAAATTTCCACTCCGCATGAAAGATAATGATTTGCTAGTCACAGAGCTCTACCGTGATCCTTCTAATGACCCCATCACTGCCATCTCTGTATATCTCACACCGAAAACAAGTAAGTTGATCGTAGTAATAAGTTAATTAGGTGTTTTGGAATTTAACGAGGAAGTATCAGGGTTACAATTTTAATGGCTGCGACATTTTATTTATTTGTTTTGTCGTGGATGTTTACATTTCTTCCTTTATGTTGCTCTGAGAGATATTTTCTTCTTCCTGCATGGGTTTATGGAAATTTATTAATATGCAGAATGTCAAGTAATTGCTGGACTATTTTGTATCCACCGCAGCTTCAGTGACTGGTCATCTCTTAGGGCTTTGTCCTTTACAAATGCAGCCAATCTTAACATACAGTTTAGACTACTTGTAAATCAGCATTTTTGTTGGCAGTTACTTTCCAAACAAAATATTAAATGTTCTTTGCACTGTAATGGCGGATGTAGATTCGTGAAAGCGCATCACGCGTTTATCTTTTTATACTTGAGATATCATTTTAACATCTGTGAGTGTAGTGCTTCAGGTGGAAATGTTTGGAAACTCAGGTGGCATGATTATAAACTTGATCTTCAAAACCTGCTTAAATGTGTTTAGTTTTCATTACTTTGTCTTTTATTGTATGAGTAATGTTTCAGTAAAATTAATTTCATGTCATATGTGTATTTTGTATAATTGGGTAATAGGCCCTGAGGTTTAAACTTGGTACCTTCTAAATGGAAGTAACTGAGTGTTACCACTGTGTAAACATGCTCTGTTCAAGAAAGGTAATTGGCATTTAGTCTAAATATTAAGATGATGTGAGTTTTTCTCTTGGTTGAACTGTGCAATTCTTTAATAGTTTTGCCTATAGTTTATGTTTCCATTTGATTATAAGGGAGATAATACACGAAAGTGCAGTTGCTTGGGCATGACTGTATGAATGTTGTAGTTTTAGTGAAGAACAACATATTACAGAGCATCCTTGTATTTTCATGCCAGCACCAGAGAGGGGGAGGGAAGGTATGATATAATTTTTTTAATTTTTAATTTTTTATTCTTTCTGGCACATAGAAGGATTGAGTGAATTTTATAGCAAAAAGAAGCAAGCTTGTACCACTGTCTGTTGATTTTCACAAACAATACTCCCACACACCACTACCACAAGGGAAAAAGGACTAAAAAATTTAGCAAAATTTGAGATCAGCTAAAGAAGAAAAGGAATTTATCGTTTTTATGTAAGATTATCTTAAATGTCCTAGATTGAGCAGTAATAAATTATCTCAGCCACAGTTATTTACATTTGTGTTTTCAGTAGTACAGACGTTTATGTACTTCATTTGAAGGCTTAATTGCATTTTAAAATTGGCTCGTTAATTATTAATTGAGCTGAAGATGTTTAAAATTCATGTTTGTAAAACCGAAGAATTGAAATTTGTATGCTTGTATGTGTTTGGTAAAATATATTTTTGAGACAATAGTCCATTCAGTGCATACGTAGTTTTAATGACAATATTTTAAACCTTATGGTAGAATATTTATAAAAGTTCCAGATTTATGATATGTTTTAAGACAAACATTTGAATTAGTATTAGGTATTCTGGCAACCAGAATCTATACCCATTACCAACTGTATGGTATGAGAACTCATTGAATTTCAAAGTTGGTCACAAGAGTTTTAGGTTTACAGTAAAACACTAATTTAAAGTGCAGGGACAAGAATTTCAGTCTCTGCTGCTTGCTTATTGCTCATTTGCTATTGGATGTGACATACATGTTGGGATCTTAATTATCAGGCCTCATACCAAGAGCAACTGAAAGTGGATACCAAAGTATGTAGATTGTGATGTGGTTGTGTTATTTATGTTCCAATGTAATTATGACACATTTTTACTTCTTGGGCGCTTAAGGTGTTGCTGTGCACGAAATGTTTTATGTGTTGTTATGTTGATATGCGGGGCCCAAGGCGGCCACCGCTCTTTGTGAATGGTACTGCCTGACATCATCTTTTTAGTCTTCTCAGACTGCCCCCCTCCCCCTTTTCAATGCTGTGCACCCACCACACTTGCCACATCTGAGCCATGATGCATGTTTCACATTCTCACTATACAGATTTAAGGTCCCACAAGCTCAGAAACTCTTTCATTACCATCTGCCACTTCCTCGTTGTGCTGCCCGTGGTCTTTGGTCGAACTCCAGCATATGTGACTCCATGTAGAACTCAGAAATGAAAGTTAAATGTAGGTTTCTCAGTCAACTGCTAACTTTGTGTCTGGGACCATCCAAGAATTTTTTGTATTTTAACTAGTTCCTCCTGGGGAACAGACAGAATGACAATGCTTAGGCTGTCACTGTCTTATTTGTTCACAGCTGGACTATTTATCACTCATCTACACGTCTACTTCTTCAATAATTTTATATATTCTTGGTCCTATCCACAACTCAGCAACACATCTCCATCCATGGGCATTTTGAACAAGCAGAGTGTAGAGTTTGTATGCAAATTAAGGGAACCTGCACTTGCCAACAAATTCCATTGTATTTGTGTTCCAAAGCTTAGCAGTCTCCAAAAAGTACCCTTCCTAGAGAGCGGTAAACCAGCCGTCTGTCCGATAAGTTCTGCACTCACCTGTTACTGGAGCTATTTCATGTTTCCATAATCCCTATTATTTCACGTGTCTCTGCGACTTTCCCGAGGCATGCGCACCTCCAGACACCTTCTGCAAGCTCTGTAAAGAGAAGTTCATACACTAGCCAGATTACACATTTGTTTTTACAGCGGCAATTTTTTGTGGTGGACATTGATGGGTTGTGTGTTTATTTTAAATAAAAAGTTTTTAAAATTTAAACCAAACTCCTTCAGTTCAGTTGTTTCCT